TAAAAAATGAATTGAATTTCGCCTAAAATGAAAACATAATTTTTAAAAAATCCGCTTCCCGGCCAACTGACACAGATTAAAGAATATACCTACATCCTCGCTATTCAGCTTAATATAGCTTTTACCAAACAAACCTAAGTCATTGTATATTATAGTTCTTTATACAATGCCTAAGTTGCTTGAGTATTGATTGTTGCAATAAACACAATATAAAATTTAGGAATATTTATCGATTTAAAACACACATATTTTTCTGCAATATGCTCACAAATATTGGTAAATGTAAATTAGTAACTTCGATATTACGTATCACATAAATATTCTTTATTAAATAATCCATAAAATACTTAAAACATATATGTAAAACATAAAAACACAAATAAAATCAAATTCTTGACAACCACACAATAGAGCAACCTCGAATCAAAATTACTACGTTTATATCAAGTACAAGGTAGTTTTCAACATTCGCCAATAAGACCATATTTTTAAATGTTGACTATAATCCGCAATTTTTTTTCCAAAAATCGAGAAATACCAATCTGCAGTTTTATTTTAAACATATAACAAACCTGTAATTTTGTGACACTAAAGTGATATGTCACCAAAGTGAAAATATTTGTTTAAAAATGTACAATTTTTGAGATTTTAACTTTAATTAAATATCTCACATAAATGTGGATAATCCGCAAATTTTTGTTCATTCTCATGATACGGAACTACTCTACTTTCTATAATAGTACAAAACATATTTTGAAATTAGTGTGTCCGTAAAGCCGAACATAACCAATTAAGTCTTAGTTTTAATTAAAGTTATAAAAATGACTTACCGGTCGTGAGGTTGAAAATCGAAGTTACAATTATTGCACCATACAGTTGACATAACAACACTTATGTATAAAACATTGATATTTCATCTTTATTACCGAACGAATATTTCATTTCAAAATTTTCATACAAAAAATGTGTTAAAACCGAACTAATCTGAGAATAATGATAAAAATGTTGGTGTTTTTATGAAGTTTTTTTGTTCTGTGTATTTTAAATTCTCAAGGCCAGATTTTGAAAGATACCAACTATATTACCAACTTAAAAAACTTAGTTATATTTTAGGCGGAAATATTTAATTTGAAAAAGTTAATTAAAAAAAAAAACAACTTGTGAGATTGAAAATAAAAAATATTAGCGTTAATACTAAACAAAATAATTTTGAAAAATGAATGTATTTAATATATAAGATTATATTCGTTTTTTAAAATTGACAATGTTTCCTAAATATCTCCCAAACAAACAAGTATAGGGACCGTGCGTCATGACATCAACGCCAACTGGTGACAAAAATGTGAACTTTAGGGGGGATTTATTTAAGTTTTATATTTCATTTATCGAAAAAACTTGTTGCATCCGTGGATGAACAAACACATCACTTCGTAAAAGTAGATTTGATTCATTAGTAAAGAAATTTTATAAATTTCCACAAAGCACACTTGGTATCTCACACTCAATGCTATATATAGTTACATAGATTGCTCATCCATATATAAATCAGACGACTAGTAATTTAATGGACCAACTAAGTGTGTGACTCCTCAAAATAAAAAATTATGCATCACTTTACAATCCTCTATCTATCTGTACCTTTTTAATTTTGTCCTTTATTATATAAATTATATAATGAACTTTTCTCTGATACCTATTAAAAGAATAATCCAGTTTAAATTATTAAGCGAAGATTAAAATTAATGTAAAAATGTCACTTTAATCCTGGTTTATTTCTTAACTACTAGCGGTGGAATTGGGCCTAACACAACTCTTACTCAAAAAGAAAATAACCGAATTTATTGTAAGTTTACCATTAACAAAATTAAAACAATTCCTTAATTCAAGCATATTTTGTCATAGTCTGAAAGGTGACTGAAATGAAGAGAAACTCTTACGTTTATATTAGCAACCCCCGTACGAAACGACACTGGGATGTCATCTAGCCCTATGATTCATTATACGATAAGTTAAAAGAATCAGTATCAGTCGATGATTAAGTTTTAATTGTAATATATATTTCATTATTGTACCAATTTTTATACAGTTCAGTCGAGTAAAATAAATTGTTGTGTTAAATAATTGAGTAAAATAAATTGTTGTGTTAATTGTTAGTATTAAACCCCAGTATAGAGAGCTATACACATACTTTGATTTTATGTGGAGCTATAGATCTCTATACTAGGATTTACAACCTTCTAACATCAGAAGTGGTTCGTTTCACGCTGAAATGGGTAGAAAACGAAGGTGTTCTTCTTCGAGCAGTTCCAGTTCCTCGAATTCTACTAGTTCTTTGTCCAGTTCAAGTGCATCTAGGTCAAATAAGACAAACAAAAAAAATATTTAAAAAATAATTGGTCCGATTGGAAAATCAAATTGATGGATACATTTCATTCTAGAAGTCATGTAGGTATTGTTAGTTGCCTAACTAGTAGTATATGGTTATAGAGTTGTAGTTATGTATGCTTGGTTGCATATACAGTTCGCCCCTGTTGTAGCACGCCGTGGCTAGCAGTACATCGGATGTACACGAAATATTTGTACATCGGCTATAATAGCCCCATTATTTGTACATCATAATTTTAACCTAATTTCAGATGATAGAGTGGAAGACTTAAGTATTTTTCTGTTAATCCTTTCAAGTAAATGGGTATTTCATAAATTCCTTTTGTTTCTTTTCAATGGAAAATTTTGGCAACGAAGGAACTGCTTCTCGTAGAGAATTTCAACCCATACCTGGCTACACCGACCGACATAGACTCCAACGGCCTGGACACAGCTCGTATTGTTGTATGTTGAAGAAACGAGTAAAAACGTTGAAGAAACGAGTAAAAACGTTGAATAATTGCCATCAATAAAATCAAATAATTAGGTACATTTAACTTTTAATATACAAATTAAAATGATAGAAAGCAAATACCAAAGACAAGCACGTTAGAAATTATAGTTTAAATATCAAATCTAAACCTACTACATGTCAAAAGGAGACCGATGTACAAATAAAATGCGTACAGTCGATGTACTGCTAGTCATTAGCTAAATTTGGGTACATAATAAAACTAATGTTATAATTATAAATGTAGTTAAATGTAATAAAAACATGAATAATTAATGGCAGCTTTATTACGTACCCAGTTTTCAATTTAACCGCTACAACAGGGACGAACAGTATATGCAACCAAGCATATATAACTACTAACTCTAACTACATACTATATAGTTATGCAACTCACATCTCCTTCCTTTCATAAAAATAACTAGGTATATATTCTAAAAGAGCTCTTTATAGTATCAAAATGAATACTTAACATTATCTTATTATGTAATATAATCTTTTAAATAATGCGGAGTTCTAATAGTAGGCATACAATTTTAATTAAATAAGCTTTAGATGGATGTTGTTAATATGAATTTTTCAAAATAGTAAAAATTGATAATTTGAATCTAAATTTTTCAATCGAAGATAAAATTTCATTAGTTTTGGGTGTCATAAAAGATAAAAATTTGACTTCAGCAGCTGCAAATATCAATGATTTAAACGCCTTATTTGCGGATCAAAGTTTATTGTAAGATTCCAGAAAAATCACAACCTTCTCCTACATAACAAAATAGTTTTATTTATTTATTTTGTCAAATTTATACATTGTACAAAAATATTCTTATGAAGAATTAATTTTGTACCGGTGTCATGTGTGTGTTTTGCCTAATGGTGGTTAACATATTATTGGATATTTTCCTTTGCATCGAAAGTGTAGCACTGAGCTACATCACTTCTGAAAATATCGTTCTATCCATACAATTTGTATAAATGGAACGATATTTTCAGAAGTGGCGTAGCTCAGTGCTACACTTTCAATGCAAAGGAAGATTTATTATTTAAATAAGTGTAAACTGTGTTGCCTACCTTTTCAGTTGGCTATACGAATTATCACGATGAGATTACTCGATCTGGGGAGAAAGAAGATATTTCGCACTTGATTGTCGATTTTGTTTGTTTTACGTTTTTAATAATTTGATTACTTTACGAAGAGAGCAAAATATTAAATATAAGACAAATGTACTTTGTTTCCACCAATGTAAAATGTTACCCTATTAGACTCACAGCTACAATACCATCTCATACTTACCTAAGCCGGAATAGATCAAATCATATTGTACCCTTGGTGGAAAGATCTTTAACTCAAAGGTCTTTTTCATATCTAGGACCTAAGATGTATAATCACTTACCAGAGGAAGTACAATCCAAGGTTACTTTCCATTTGTTCAAGAAATACACTTAAAAATATTTACTTTCAATACCCCAAGAAAATATATTTCAGATCTAATAGAAAATAAAACCTAAAAAGTACTCACTATTTAAGAAGGATTGATGTTTTCGTATTATAATTTATCAAGCAATATTTATATTAGACAATTTGATGGTATGATCAATTTCTCTCTTTCCTTATTTTTTAATTATTATATGTATATTATGTATTACAGTATATCTACTCTATATGGCGTAACAAGTGTTAAGTCACTTAACGTGAGCCAATTTATTCATTTCTTTTTTTTTTTCTGTATCAAATGTGTTTTATAGGTACTACTTTAATGAATAAATTATTATTATTATTACAACACTTGTTGTTGTAGCATATACATAGAAACTAAATTTCGCACCGTAGGATTTTTCTTTTGTTGGTTTTCATTTTTATTTACCACATAACAAATTTTACAAATGTACTTAAGTACCAATTTTGGATATTATATTTTCATTGTAAATAAACAAATATTACTATTATAAAAAAAATTAATATTTTCAATATTTAAATTAGAATTTTGCCTTATAGAAAAAATACATTGTTGTGAAAAATATACTTACGCAACACTGAGCAGTAGCCACTTCCGAAAATTTCTCGAATCGAACAACACAAAACAAACGACAGCGACTGCTCTGGAACGCTCTAGAAATTCAACCGAAGCTCTCCGATTGGTCAGAAAAGCAATCGATTCCACCGGAACCTTCGCGAATTTACTCGAATCATCCAATTGGATATATAAAGACGAGCGTCGGCAACACCCGGCAAGTTTCAATTTGAATAACGAGCAGTATAAGTGAGAACAGCGAAAGCGAAAAGTGAAGCGCGATTTGTGAATTCTGATATATTCAATCAGAGAGTAATTTGCAGTGATATTTTGTGAAAATGTCTCTACTACCATATTTGTTGAGAGATTCCTTGCTGGACGATGCATACTTCAGGCGCCCGTCAAGAATTATGGACCAACATTTCGGTTTAGTGCTGGATCCCGAAGATCTCATGCAACCTATCGATATGCCGAAAGTGCTGTTACGCTGCCCTGCAGGATACATCCGCAACTGGAAATCCGCAGCTTCAGACCAAGACACCGGTTCCACAGTGAATTACGGTAAAGACCAATTCGTAGCTAATTTGGATGTCCAGCAGTTCAAACCGGAAGAAATTACGGTTAAATTGACCGGGGAAAATACTGTTACGATTGAAGGAAAGCACGAAGAAAAGGAGGACGAGCACGGACAGGTATTCAGACATTTCGTTAGAAGATACACATTGCCAAAAAACTACGATACGAGTCAGATTCAGTCTAAATTGTCTTCTGATGGGGTGCTGTCAATAACCGCTCCGAGGATTGAGGTCAACCAAGTGGAATGTAAAAATATTCCCATTACTCAAACTGGAGAAGCAGCAAAGGCCGTAGAGAAAAAAAGTGATGGTGACAAGTAAATCCAAATAATAATTTGAAAATTTTGTATTTTTTCCTTAAAAATGTGTTTACTTAAATGTCTTTATAATCATTTTTTTTTTGGCATTTGAGAATGAAATTACTGTTCGAGACTGATTAATAAGTTGTATTATTAATGCATTTCCTTTTAGTTTGTAATAAATAAAATCGTAAAAAATATCAGTTTTTATCTTTGTGCCTACTTATCTTCAAGTTTATTGATTTTCCACTTATTTCATACATTATTTTTCGTCAAAAATAGGACATAGATTTTGATTACTTTGCTTGAGTGCACTTAGGGCGGATGTCACAAAACACAAAATTTTGAAAAGCAAAGCAAAAACATCCAGATCCGCCCTTGTGCACTCAAGTTGCAAGACAAAAAATAAACATTAAATTTAAATGTGAAAAATGTATCACAGTGCAGATCAAGAAAACTAATAACAATTTCTCCCAATAATATAAAAATTACCAAATCTATTTAAATGTGAAAAAAATAAGTTTTGAAACATTCTAGAATGGGTTTCTAATTGAAAGACTGTTATTAAAAAGAATAAAAATTAATCGAAATGGTGCTAAATGCATAATTAATATAAGCACAATCCTATTTTTGACAAAATATAGGTAGTACTTAATATTTCAATTCATTTTTACTCTGCCTTCCCTATTAGAAAACTTTCACAATTTTTCCTTTTTCCAAATTAAAAGTATTGTTTCATATCCAATCACTTAATGGGTGATTACCATTTCTCTATGGTTATTTTCACATTAGAAAATATTTTGTTTTTGACTCATTTTGTTATTCTGTTTTCTTAATATGTACCTTGTGTAATACATTTTATATCTTTGAATTGTATGTATTAGAGGCTGTTCCTGAAGTCTTAAGAGACAGATTGATGAATAATGCCACTGCAGCTACCCAAAAAATACAAAAATAAGCCAGAAATCATATTATAAAGGGGTCTATTCTGTAACAATTCCTTTATATTTAAGGGCCTTTAAAAACATTGGCGGTCTTTAAAAATATGTTCGTATTCGTTAATTTACTTCTGTCATTATTTAAACAGATTTCTTTAAGATATTCCTCTAATGTATTTTAAAGATCCGTTTAAATAATGACAGAAGTAAAGAAGAAAATATTTTTAAAGGCTGTTAAATATAAAGGAATTGTTACAGAATAGACCCCATAGGGAGACATATTTTTGCTAATATATCTTTCATCCTTTCCTCTCCATGGTCACCCCCATGTTTATTACATTTTTCTATTTTCCTCTAATTAGATTTAAAAAAAAATGTATATCTGAGATGTTAAGTGAATGGAAAATACAGAAAATTTCAATTGAACAACAGAAACGAGGGAGGAGACTCTTCACAGAGTAGGGGATGCAATTAAAAAAAAATCTAAACGAAAAGCGATATATGAATTTTTAGTAAAAATCAAGCTCTATAAGGAACTCTCAAATCAGAAAAAAAAATAGAATAAAAATGGGCGTTGAAGTATTAAAAAACAATCCCAACTCAAAAACGAACAATATCGCCTTGATTTTGGCAAAAAAACAAGCTTTATACGGGGATAAAACTTATTAATTTACAAAACCTGAATAAATGGGAGCCAAAGGGGGTTAAATTAAAAAAAAAATAGATAAAGGGGTGTGTAATATTGAATAAAACAAAAAGTGATATTAAATTTAAATCTTCCGAAGGGGTTAAGGGGGCTGTTAAACTGCATTTATATCTTCAGTCTAGTTTAATGTGAGTTTAACACTACAATACATCAACAATGACAATCTTTTTTCAAATTCACGCCAATCAAAACAAACTGTATCTGAAAACACTGCATGATACAGTGTCTTCGAGCATACAGTGTTCACTGCATGGTACAGTGTTGTCAGGATTTAAAAATTAAATTCATTACCAAACACATTTACCAAATCAATGAATTATGCGAAAGTCAATATGAAGTTTGTCAAAAAGGCACATACTTTGATTTTCTTTTACTATACGGAGAATGGTCGCACTGCGCAGCTTTCTGAGTGCCTTTTAAAAGGAGATAGAAAACTCCGCCATTTTGATCCCTTATTACGTGTTGCCTACATCTTGGCGTAATATTTTTAATAGGTGCGTTTTAATCATCCGTTTCTGCTTCGGAATTGTCAGTTTTCTTGTTTTAATCTGACAGGTTAAAACGACTAAACCGACAATTCCGGAAGCAGAAGCGGATGATTAAAACGCACCTGATATTTTGCTTGCTGCTGTCGGTGAATATTATTTTTGGAGTCACAGTTTATTGCTAAAGAATCAGTTAGCTCACTCGGACCAGTTGAAAGTTCTAAAATAACATCCACTCCAGGGATAGAAATTCAGGATACGCAGAAGACTGCCGTTTTATTATAGGCGGTTGTCATATATTGTATTATCTGAGTTGCGCAGTGTATAAACTGGAACATTGAGATGAAAAGTGCCGACGCAGAGTGAGCGATCTGATTCTTTAGCTATGAACTGTGGCATAGGAATCAAAATGGCCGCGCCCTATGTTGGGCGTGTCGGACCTCTCTCTTGCACCGTATAGTAAAGAAAATCAAAGTATGTGCAAAAAGGTGACAGAAATATACCATGGACAGAAATAGTTTTGGTCGTTTAAATATTGATTTGGTAAAAAAATAAAATTATTGTTAAATTTGAACTAAAAGTTGTCTAGAGTCTAGACAGTAAATCGTAAGTTTACTTTTATTTAACTGCGTATAGAAGTCATTAATAACTGCTGGTGCATGATTCATACATAAAAAAAAGTAAATAAAGATAAAACCGATAAAAACGTAAACAGAATTATATGTACAGAATTAGCCTAGTAAATATTATTTTATCTTTAGCTTAGTCAGCACTTTAAAACATAAATATAAGTAACTTGTTTATTATTAGAAATTCTTCATGCTTGAATGTTGTAGTTTAGAATTAGTTTTTTAAAAAATGTTTTTCTCTCAAAAAACCATAATTACAGACTTCATCATCTTCCTTATGTTCGAGTTATTTGATGTTTAACAACTTCTATGCAGTTAAAAAAAGTATCAATTTAGGATTCACCTGTATTGATAAATAACCTTTCTAAATATCAGGCAAGGTGATTTTTTTTAACCACTCCACTGCCAATCTAGTTAATATTTTGTATGGTATAACTTGGCTTTTTCGGAGTATCAGCATTCTCATTACAAAAGGTCAATTGTATTTTTTTAAATGTAGGTAGTCATTAGGATTTTATTGTTGTTACTTACTATCAGTTATAGCGAATGTAGATGATGGCCTAACCGAAAAATGGGGCAGCAACAAGGTATTCACCTACTCTTATATGGACATGGTTTTACGCGACAACGCAACTGAAGAATATAATCTGCATTAGAATACATCCTGAGCCAAAACCAGAGATAAAATAATATTCAGGATGCCAAGATTAATTCGACAATCAATACGCTCTATTTAGTGGTGCGCGGCGAGGAGACGAAATGTGAGAAGAGAGGGGATAAAGAGAAGGGTTTTGCGCAGATACAACTTTATCAATGAATAAATGTATAAGCGGCTTTGCACTTATTATCAGTTTCTGTTATGTGTGCTCCTTCAAAATTATTCGAGCAAATAATTTACAACAAATTAGATAATTTCGTAGCAAAAGCATTGCTGAGGAGCAGCATGTGTTTGTGGCTGGAAGATCAATTAATACCAATTTATTTATCTTTACAAATTATCCAAATGATACACTAGAAAAAATTTTTCACCTTGATATAATTTTTACTGACTTATCATGACATTTTGGTAGAAAAGATCAGTCAGTTTGGATTGACCATTAATATATTAAGGAGGTCCTTTCGCCACCAATGTTAAATAAAAAAATACATGTAGCACTCAGGGACTGCCGCGGTAAAGCTATTGCATAGCATTTTTATCAACTTATGCAATTATAATTATTTATTTATTTTATTTATGCAGTATTTTTTTTCTTTGATATTAATTCAAGTTTTTTCTTTGATATTAATTCAAGTTACACTTTTTGAGCGTGGTGACCGATAAGAAAACAATTTTTTCTTTTATTGTATAAATAAGAATTAATATTGTTTAAAATATTTTTATTATCTTACAATACATGTAGGTTATTCAGGAATGTTTATCATTGAAACTATAGGTTTATAGTAACTGAAATAAGAAACATAAGTTTGAGACTAAATATCTGGAGAATACCGCGTCAATGGTGGTCCCATATTTTGTTGTGGATTCTTGTGGATCATTATTCATTTTCAAATTCAGTTTTTCCGAAATTGTGTCTAAAAGAGATAGAATCAGTTATGAGCAGTTAGCAGCTAGTCTACATGCATACATCTAGTCGCACGCACACAAACAGCGTGCCGAAGTCTGCCGAACTGAAACGACGTTAGACGATGCACGGCAATCAACGCCGCACCGCTGTGCCGGTCGGAGTGGGGGGTGTTAGGTTTATTTTCGTTACGGAATTTCTTTTCCGATTTTCTTTTATTGAATAAATGAGAAGTTAATATTGTTTAACGCCGCACCGCTGTGCCGTTCGGAGTGGGGGGTGTTAGGTTTTTTTCGTTACGGAATTTATTGATTCGGTCGTCGCGCTCAAAGCTATGCAATAGCTTAAAAATATTAGATTAATTTTTTCTAATAGTAAAGTCCATATTTATGTAATAGTGAACTTTTAACTATACCTTACCCTGCAAATTTTTGAGATATTTTTTTTAAATGTGAGTATTTGTACAGTGTCTTAAGAGAAAGTAAGACCTCAACAATTCTCGAATTATACTATTATTTATTGATTAGACAAAAACTAAAAATGAGGTTTTTGAAATAGTTGGGTTTTGTTTTTTACAATAAAATATATAGGTTACCGTGGATTTTTGGGAAATTAATATTAAAAAATCACAAAAGATTTTCAAGTAACCTAGCTTAAAATTGAGTCAAAACATTTGGCAACGTTGCGTAGCGCGCGAACTTCAGACCATTGAATACATTCAATGTAAAATTTTACGCAATGCGCTAGTTCAGTGATGATGTAATTATGGTTCCACTGACAATTATAGTGACAGTAGATTTTTTGAGTGCGTTTTGTTTACCTAAATTATATTGTTTTTTTCACTTTTATAAATATATTCCTAAAGTAAGTAGATAACATGCATCAAATATACAATCGTTTAGTTACCAATTACATACCTTTAAACTATTTTTTATGAACTGGAAGCAATATTTTGAAATAAAATAAAAACAGTAAAAACGTATATGTCAAATTTATTGATGTTTTTGTTAAAAATTTGGTTAGAATTAAATGTCAGTGGAACCAAAATGACATCACACTGAACTAGCGCATTATGTTTTTCATTTATATTTATTTTTACCAATTTTTTTTTATTTTATAATTGAAAACATCACAATAAATGAAAAATATCAGCTTATTACTACCTATTTATTTATTTATTTATCATAATGAGATATACTTACACATTATTTATTATTTAAATAAAATTATGACACAAATGAGTAAATTGAAAACAATTTTTTTATGAATAGTGTAAATTTTATTATTTAGTCTTAATCTAATATTTTTTATTTAACATTGGTGGCGAAAGGACCTCCTTAATGTTTATTAGGGATTATTTAAAAGATACTTTTTGGCAGGACATAATAATAATTCTAGCAGATTCCGTTCTGTGGTGCTTACTTTTTGCTAATGACTTTAAAGTTTAGATGTAGAGATTGGATGAACATCCGTGTTTGAGTGAATCATCATGCAAAAACATATAACAAATAAAGTATACTCAATATTTAAAGTCCAAATAAACATTACTTACCCCTCTATGGCTACAAGTTGACTGAATCGGTAATAGTTGCATTAATAAAACACAATCTGTCTTAAATACCTCGTATTTAATTTTTTCTTTTTCAATTATAAAATAACAAAATATGTTTAAACCGATTCTTGTACAGGTGGTTCGTATCCCTCTGGCCTGTCGACCTTAGACCCGGCCTCGCCGCCGACGTCACCAGCTCCACCTTTACCGCCGTCTCCGTGCAATTCCAACAATTTGGAAAGTTCGAAACGGGGCTTCTTCAGTACCTTCACTTTGCGAATGTACACATCGTGCAGGGGGTAGATGCCCTGGCAGGCTTTCTCAATATCCTTGGCTATGCTGTCGGGAAGGAGTTTGTTAACGACTTCCTTGATGTCTGAGCCTTGGATGTCGCGGGTGATAATTTCGACCATCTTCTTGCGGATAGCTCTGACCTGAAGGTTTAATTTTTTATGTTTGTAAAAACTGCATTTACTGCTAGATGGGTTGCGCGGATGGGAATATGCAACTTAGAGTTTTATTCAGAGTTTAAAATGATTTTTGCGTCTTATTGGGAACATAATGAGTCTCATCATGTATGTATCAATGCGAGCTAGGTGTGTCATCATTAGAACTCATGCTGCTAGGTTTTTTATTAATTAAATTCTTTTATAACAATAATCTAATATTAAATTCTTGATTATTAACTAATCATCTAAGACCCAGTATTAGAAAGTTGTACCATCATCTGTTATTTTGATTAAAAAGAGTTAACATAACTTAGACTAGAACTGGGGGGACATGGATTCATATTTCATATGCATTCAGATGATTTAAGATTCATTTTTTTGGTGTCAAATAAGCTGTGGTAACATTTGTTTTAAGCTTTTTTTTAAGAAAAATTAAATAGTGTTATTAGTAGTTACAATATGAGTAAAAAAAATAATTACATTTCATAGGTTCAATATTAGACATGTAAATAACACAAATGTAAAACTGCTCCAGAGATCGAAAGGTGAGAAGTAAGAGAGGGAATAAAGAGAAGAATTTTATGCAGATACAACTTTTTTTATCAATGAATAAATGTATAAGCCGCTGTGCGCTTATAATACACAACATAAATATCCATGCCAGTGTAAGCCCTGTTGCCACTTCCAACCTTACATAACTAGAACTGGAGGGAGGAGGTACTTTATAGGTGGTCGTTTTTCTACTTTATGGAATATATCTGGTATTTACGCTTGGAGAAGAAAATTCAAAAGTTGCTTGCAATGTTAATCTCTATAATTTTTGCCCAAAACATAATTTTCCTAAAATGGTCCGTATTCGAGAAATTTGACAAAAAGAGCAAAATTCAAATTTTTAAGAAAATTGTTCAAAGAGACAAATTTGAGCAAAAGTGTAAAATGTTTATTTTTCAGTATTTTCGTTGGCAATGAATATATATAAAACATGTTTCGAATAAGATGAGTGTAGAAAATGTATGTAATTAGTTCATCCTCTAAATATTTAGAGGTGATGCAATAGGTTGAACAAAATAACCAGAAAAAGCCTATAATAACTAGACAGGAAAGTCATGTGTTGGACACATCAACTTTTAAAGCTTGGAAATAAAAAATCCAGTGTTGTTGTAATAATTTGAACATTCATTTTTGTTCAGGGTCATTAGCCATTGCAAGGCATAACGGTGGGAGTTGTTTTATTTATTTTATTTTGTACTCAATATGTGTCAACGTTATTTTAGCATATTACTAAGGTAGTACTAATTTCCTTGCTTACTTCACCCTTTTTATTTTTCAGCTAGTGAGAAATTCTTTGTATGCATAGGCAACGATTAAAGCCCATTGCTTGGGGTTTATTATTACCTGTGTCTAGCTGATCTTTGACCCCTAGAATTTTTTATCTCCATCTGTAGCTACCCAAGTACTTTCGACGCTGCTTCGATAGTTTGTGGAGTGAACCACAATAATCTGATGCCCGAGAGCCGGCCGTAATAAGCGCCATTCGTAAGGAACCGTTTTCTCTGTGGCAAGAAAACCCCTTACACTACTATGTTTCATCAAAATAACTGATAGGACTGAACTTTCTGACAGATCTCGTACTATAATAATAAAATTTGTAAAAACAAAGGGTAAATGTGGAAAAAGTCCACAATATTGTATAAAAATGAGCTAAATGCATACAAAAAATGAATTGTACAAAAACTACTACATTTTAAATTGATAGGATCTATTTATGGTGAACTAATTTTATTGTTGATTGTATTAAAAATAAGGTGTTAAGTTGAAGATTCACAATGTTAGGGAACATTCACAATGTTAGGGGGTACATTTATACTCAATAATAATATTAGTATTATGCATAGTAATAAGAAAAAATGACAAATTTCAATTCTTATGAATAATTTGCACATGAGCAAAAATATAATTCTGCTTTTTTTTTAAATAAGAATCTGAGGAGTGAAAAAATATGTAAGGTGCTAACATGCTGTGTTCTTCTTATAAAATTTTTCTAAAGATTCTGTGAGTTTTGAGCCTGGATTTTAGATTATTTTTTCAAGTTTACTGTATTTCATATATTAATTGAGTTTATATGGAGAACTTTTAATGGATTTACACATCTCAAATTTCTCTTTTTTTATTTTAATACAGAACAGATGGAATCTTTGTCTCTAATATACAAGACATAGTACACATATTTGATGTTGTTTTTTTTTTGAAACAAAGGCCTTAACATAAGTTCCTTAAAAGATCCTTATTTAAACTATTTTTAAATAAAATTAATTGAAAAACATGCTCAACACATTAGAAAATGTAAGAACACAACTGGCTTCTTACATATTTCTTTAGTAGTCATATATTTTATTAAGGAAAAAAATACAGTCATTTATCATAAAATTTTAATATTGTATATAAAAATGGACCTAAAAATATGGGTTGAAAAATATTCAAATTACATGGGGAAATAAAACAAAACTTACCAAAATGTTTTTAACCCACATTTTTTAGACATGATAATGTCATATAGAGGCCGATACTAGTAACCCATTCCCATTGTTATAATCATAAAACTGATTGTTTTAACAGGGAACTCATTATTTTGTAGCAAATGCAATATGTCTAATAGTGCCAGACATTTTCACTTATTGAATAAGAAAAAAAAGATGTAGGAAACATTATTTCAATTACAAGATATTAAAATACCAGGTTGTGAGATTTTATAAGTTCACTATAAATAGACCCTTAATTTTTTTTTTTTTTTAATTTGGTGTCATCGGCGTCGACTACTACGGCCATTAGCCTCTAGACCCTTAATTATTATCAACTTTATTACCTGGAAAAGCATTACCAGAAGAAATAATTAGATATTAAATATTTCAAATTCAAGTAAACTTATATGCAAAAACAAGATTTTCCTAATTTACAAAATAATAAAAATTTCATTATTAATCAACTTATTTTATTTGCTATAGTTTACTTACTTGTGTATGCTGGGCATAACACGTTTTCCTTTGTGAAAGCTGATCTTTGTTGGTGAAACCAATGCAGAATACCCTAAGCAAATAACCATCAGACGTTTTAACATCAGCAGATGCCTCAATAAGAGTCTGCCATTTCTTTACCATGGACCTCAACTTGTCAGTTGTCAAATCCATACCATGGAAATTTGTTAAAACATTCCTACCTAAAAATAAAATTAAAAAAACAAAAGTAAAAAATATTCAAACCAACAAAAATGTTTATGAATTGTTGATTTAATGTATTTGGTTTATTTTCAGAATACCTATCTAACCTCTTAGATTCTAGATAATGCCTTTGGTTACTTTTATTTTTCAGTAAGTGTTCTGCCATCACAATAAAGAAAATAAAGTAAAAAAAATGGCTAAATGTATAAAATAGTTCTGCAGACCACCAAAAAACATGCCCCATAATCTTATATCACTGCTAAGAAGCAGCAGTATACCACACAATGGCTTAGGTATAATACGGGTATGTGAAGCACATGTGCTCCTCGTAGCTACAAATAACTAATATCTTATATATTTTTCTTTGCTAATTAATAGAAAATAAACCAAAAATGCTTTGTTTGATCAGATATAATAAATAATTGCGTCATTATAGGGAACAGAATAGTCTCATCATGTATGTATCAATGCGAGCTGAGTGGATCATCATATCAAACACATTTTTCAAACAATTATGTTATTATTATTATTATTATTAAAAAAAAGTATTTACCTTGAACGTCTTCAGCAATAAGACGGAACTTCCTGAAAGACCTTTCCGCGTCATTATCATTTTGTAAATCGGCTAAAGATACTTCAAAAACTCTGAATTTCAAACCTTCAGATGCAATTTTGGTACCTTGGGTACGATTAACTAAAGTTTTGCCAACTTGTCGGGTGGCAAACATCGATGGGGCCTTAACATCGTACCAATCTTTTCTTGTGAAAGGGTCAACTCTAAAAACAAACATGTGGTTAGTAAGATTATCATTATATAGGGAAATTCGATATAAAATTCAGTATTTATCAGGATTATAAGTATAAGTTATCTTCAGATATGTATCGAAGCGAGCTGGGTGTCTCATCATTAAAAATTGTAAACCGAAAATCAAATTATAACCTCAAAACAAACGGCATGTTAAATATATGTTAAAATCAAAATAAAAATAACATATTTTACAATTTACTAATAATATTAAATCTAAAATAAAAAGCTTAATTTACTAAATGCTGGTAAATAGTAAAAACAGCAAGTTTACTAATTTACTCCTACAGCATGAAGGAATTTATATCTATTTTTATTTGAATACATCTTACTAAATTTTAGATTTTGTTGAGTACAGATATATAATTAGATATATTTATAATAAATAAACGTTAATATTTTTTACTTACACCTTCTTTTTAACTCCCTTTTTGCCTCCTTTCGACAAACCCTTATTTTTACCGACGGCCATGATTGCTGTCGTACTAGAAAAAGAAAATTGACAAGAATGTTATCACTGTCATTGTCAAAAGGCTTCTTCTTTTTTATTTTGTTTAATTTTGCAATGCTGTTATGATAGTTATATAGATTGGTCACCTATATGCAAATCTCTTCTGAATTGCTAATAAGGCAAAGTGGCGGCTGGTGCATAAGAGGCTATTTCACCATTGTGTTTTGTGTTATATGTAAAATTGTCATTTTAAACCTGGTTTATTTCTTAATTATACTAGCTGTGGAAGGCAAAGTGGCGGCTGGTGCATAAGAGGCTATTTCACCATTGTGTTTTGTGTTATATGTAAAATTGTCATTTTAAACCTGGTTTATTTCTTAATTATACTAGCTGTGGAATTGGACCTAAGTGCTGTAGAGCTGCAGAACTGCTAAAAAAATGCTAGTAATTTATCTACATTCACAGAAATTATTTTAGACATTCTAAAATATACGTAAAATAATTTTTTTGGATATTCTCTTTAATTTGAAATATTAAATAGTATCCATAGCGCGCTTATATATCCTACTATCAGTTGATAGCTTAGAATAGGTCCAGAGCGAACCCGTGGAAGACAACAAAAGCTCGCCAGGTCATATTATTCTCTTAGCTGGTTCGTTGTGTGACGGTTTATGCATTGCTTGAGCCGCCCTCGCTCATCGCCCCATCTCCCGCGGCTCTGTGAAAAATAACGGTGAGACACGTAGTGTTTGGGCTTAATTTTTGCCAGATCGGCGAGCTTTGACTATACAGTCTGTCGCATATATTATGTGATTCGGTTTTGTAGAAATAGATTATTAGTTTGTCTTAATTACCCATCAGCGCTCGTTACCATTGTACATGAAAGATATAGTTTATAGGGTTAAAAAGACAAGAGATTTTTTAAATAAGGAGTATGAGTATAGGTTTGCTGTTTAAAAGGAACGCAGAATAGTAACATCCCACACTAGTTTTAATAAACATATTAAATTAATAATTAAATATCTGTAAAATTATATTTTCTACTTAATAAAATGTACATGTTTTAAATCTGTTAAAAGGGGGTGGGTGGCTCAGTGGTAGACTTTCTGCCTGTAGATCTAAGGGTCCCAGGTTCGAATCACTTTGACTTGTGAGAAATAAAGGACCTTTTCTTTAACCCTTACACTTAATCGAATCACACCGTTGGTCGGGATTTTTTATTTAATTTAATTATTTAAAATTAATTCTGATGCCTTGGTAGGATTCCCCACTCGACCATTCACTGTTGGGTTCTAATTAACAGTGCTGTTCCTAAAGTGGCGCAAAGAAACAGTAACAAGGCCTGTCTGTAGGGGTGTAGGAGTATTAGAGTAATAATACTCCTGCACTATGGAGTATTAGACTACTAGTACAATCCATAACCTACATAGAACATAAGGCTAATGACCTTAGATGCGGAGATATATGTCCCTAATCTCTGCTTAGATGTTGAAGCCGTACACCAAAGAAAAAAAATCTGTTAAAATGTTAATTGACAAGAAAACACCAAAGACTATAATTTCTAAACCGGTTCTGTCTTAGAAAAATAAAAATGGTTCTATACTCTGTACTGCATGATTTATTTAAAACTGGGTACTCAAAATTGGGACAAAACATAAGCATCACATCATGCATTAGATAAAGAGAAAACGTCGCCCAATGAAATCTGATGTTCATGGTATGATTAACATATGAATAAGCAATCTATATTACTATATATAATTGCTTTAAGACCATGACCACGAACCAACAGAAAATTAGAAGAAAAAGAGGAGGAAGAAGAAGAAGAAAGATGACATTGACGTTGTCTATTTTGACATTATTATGACATTGAAACAGGCCAACGAAAAACGAAATACATGTACATCAAAACAAAAAATGATTTTAAATAGTTTTTATTATTGTGTGTAATTTAGTTAATTAAGCTCAATTTTTTTTTAATTTTAAACATGGCATCTGTAAAAGTAGCTGTAAGGGTACGGCCTTTTAATCAAAGGTAGAGTTACTTATTTTTTTTTTTAATCCATGGTTGAGTGAACAAAAGTACAATGAACTTTGAATAAAAGTGTTCTAACTTTAAATATAAAGAAAATAAGACTGGTATTTTCTACTCATAAAAATTATATCTTTTATAGTATCATTATTTGATACATTTCATAATGAAACGAATAATCGGTGCTATATTTGGCAAACATGAATAAAAATTATAGTTCTCCACAATCTCATTATATTTATTTCATAAGTAATCATATCCTAACACTTATAACAAGGTTTTAACAAGGATAGTTCAAACTTAGGGATACTCAATATTTTTAAATTGATCAACTCTTTGATTTCTATATAGTTTGAATAGGTTTAAAATCTGGTACAGATCACATCTGTTATATGATTTCATAATAGTGTTTCAAAGTAAATATTGAAACTGTTAAGAATTTATTAGTAGGCTATGATTTTTAGTCCATTTTTAATTAACCTGCCCCCCTTGTGCATTCCCTGTAGCAACGGGAGGAAGTTAGGTTTGAAATAATAATTCTTTTGCTACATTTGAATATCCACATCCGATGTATTTTCCATATCCAGCGTTTGTTTATCCATATCGGACACATCTGCTCCTTTAATTATCTTGAATCATGTAATCAAAGATTCACAACATTTCAGATGCATCCAATGTGGATAAACATAGTACATTTATAAATAATAGAAAATATACTGTCATAATTTGAATATAAACACTTCACAGACTAAAATATAAAAATTAGTAGAAACACATTTTTATTGAAAAAATGTCGTTTTAAGCTTCTACAAGTAAAAAACCCTTTTTTATAATTAGTGTGTCTTCTTACCTACATATTTATATTAATATTAGATACTTAATCACCTTTTTCAAAATTAAAATTATTTAATTTTTTTTAGGGAACTAGATATGGATGCTCAATTAATTATTCAAATGCAAGGAAAAACTACTGGAATTTTAAATAGTAAAGTAAGTTAACGAAGTAACTATTACTTTAAATAATAACTTTTGCTCTGCAATAGCTAACTTACACTGTACCTATTGGTCTAAGAATGACTGTCATCAGCCATGGGATATGAGGTTGGGTCCCTAGGGATCATCCACTCACTCAGAGACAAAAAATAAAATAAAAGAACCCCCCTGTGAATAACTAACATAGGTGATGGTATAGTTTTAATTTGATTGAAGGTCCTAATTAAATATATTTAGGACAACTACAGAGTAGTAGAACAAGATTATTTAGAGAATAAACAAGCATTACTATGTTTAGTTCACCTTTGACATAATATTTCCAAACCTTTTTGATAATAAAAACTAACCTGGCAATAAACCCGAAACTATTTTATAAGTGACTATACTTTAAACTTATTATTTCAGATGTAACTTATATCTTGTCCTAACTAATCACACTCTAAAATTCTTGACAAACCTGGATAAAACAACAATTTAAAAAATATAGCAGCATAGTGATCAAATTAGCATACTATTTGGTAAAACATTTATGTTTTCAACCCCAAACAATACTTACAATAAATCTAAATCTTACAACTCTAAACTTTTCTTACAATTTCTAAGTTTAAGCTCTCTTGCAAACGATCCATGCCTACTGCCAACTGATTTACCAAAAGTCAACTCTCTTTTTCTGTTGTTAACATTCTTTTACATATCAAAATGAACATGCCTATATGAATTGTTTGAGATAGTAAAAATAGGGCATTTAGTTTTTAAATGCGTGGTGTAGTCTCTAAATGTTCTGCAAGTAACATATTATTAGTTTCTTTTGAGCTTCTAATTACTGATTTTAAAAACACTTTTAGGCAAACACAAGAGATGAAAATATTCGTTATAAAGAATTCACTTTTGATTATTCATATTGGTCTTTTGATTCCGAATCACAAAATTATGCGTCCCAAGAATTAGTTTACAATGATTTAGGAAAAGAAGTTATAGATTGTGCTTTTGAAGGTTACAATGCTTGTGTTTTTGCGTATGGACAAACTGGAAGTGGAAAAACATTTACCATGATGGGATCACCTGTAAGTTAATTTATTTAATAACAATTATTTTATTTTAGACAAAAATAAATTCTAACGAGTCTAAAAGACAAGTCACAAGAAGTTTATTTTACTCCCAATCATATTTCAATTGGTTATAACAATAAGTATTAAAAATTTCTAATTTCACCATCAAAGCAGCATGATTCTTTTACCCCTCTGCCTTGTCAAAGAAATTAAACTTTGTCATCAAATTGGTAGTAAAATATGCACTTTCTTGAAGAAAAAATTTAGTTTTGTTTATATAATTATTTTCTAGGAAAATCAAGGTCTCATTCCAAGAATTTGTAAAGCTCTCTTTGAAAAAATGGCCGAAAACTCTAAAAGGGGAACTACTCATAGGGTTCAAGTCAGTTATTTGGAAATTTATCAAGAAAGAGTAGCGGATTTGTTGAGAGGCAGAGATAGTAATTCTTTAAAAGTGAGAGAACATCCGAAAAAGGGACCATATGTTCAGGGATTAACCAGTTGCCTTGTTACAAATTATGGACACATTCAAGAATGTATGGAGAGGTAATATTTTTAAATTAAGTTACATGTTTAAGTATAAAAATACAAATGTACATGTAATTGTTTAGCATGGTTTAGTAAATTGAATCATAATTCAGTAGTATTCACATTTATACTAACCATAATGAATATTGAGGGATTTTCATCATCATTCAGCTTTCAGAACATAATCTGGCTCAAAAATAAGATATGTCAACTTTGTACATTTATTCTTTGATTTTGTTGATTGGGTGTCCGTTTAGATGCTTTAATTCTTTATAAAAGATATTAAGTTCTTCTACTGTTACTGCTTCACAGCTTTTAAATAAACAGCTAACATAGTCTCAGTTACATCCATCACATGGTTTCATTTTTATTGTTGATTGCAGGAAGAAACTTTTGTTCATTAAAAAAAAATGTATGGTTACATACCTATGCAATTTCTATGGCCAAAATTATGCAATTAAAATTTCAATTATTACAACATCCACCTTATTCATCGGATTTTGCCCCGGTGACTTTTTTATTTCCAAACTTGAACAGCTGATGTGTCCAACACATGACTTTCCTGTCTAGTTATTATAGACTTTTTCTGGTTATTTTGTTCAACCTATTGCATTACCCCTGTAAATGTTTAGAGGATGAACTAAATACATACATTTTTCACACACATCTTACTCACATTTTTTTTTATATATATTCATTGCCAACGAAAATAATGAAACGTTAAAATTTTACAATTTTCCTCAAATTTTTCCATTATGGTCCATAGAGAAATAATCTGTACAACAAAAATGATAGAAACAAACAACTCTTATTTGAAGAATTTTCTCCTCCAATCGTAATATTGCAGATATTCCTTAAAGTAAAAAACGACACCTTATAAAGTACCCCCCACATGCTTCGACTATGCCCAAAATGTAATCTCACTGCAGGATGGATTAAATCTTAAGTTTAAAATATGATGAGTTATCTTTAAAATTCAAAATTTGCACTTTTCCTCAAATATTTCGAATACGTTTTAGGGAAATCATGTATAGGACAAAAATTACAGAGAATGGCATTACAAGCAATTTTTATTTCAAGAATTTTCCACTTTTTATCAAATTTCTCGAATACGGACCATTTTATGAAAATTAGATATAGTATAAAAATTATAGAGAATAACATCACAAGCAACTTTTATTTGAAGAATTTTCTTCTACAAGTGTAAATAACAGATATATTTCGTAAATTAGAAAAACAACTCTCTATAAAATACACCCAGATGTTCCAACTATGCCCAAAATTTAATCCGTTCACCGCAGGATGGATTAAAGCTTAAGTTTAAAATTTGGTGTTTCTCTTTACCAAATATACAAGCACACATACAGACATCAACGTGAAAATAGTAAAAACGGATTCAGGAACTTTTTAAATGACTTAAAAAACTAGGAGACAAGCTTGGAAAAGTGTATAGAGCTAAAAAGAAATTATGTTGAAAAATATAAAAAACAATAAAAATAATTTATTTCACTATCTTTTTCTCTGGACTTTTTGAACGACCCTCGTATACTATTACATCTAAAACTTACAAGTACATTATGTTTATGTTTAAGGGGTAACTCTCACCGTACAACTGCTGCAACTAATATGAACGATGTCAGTAGTAGAAGTCATGCAATCTTTACGATTACCTTTGTTCAAGCAGGATATTGTGATGGAGTTCCTAGCGAAACTGTATCGAAAGTAAGTAGTTCTTTGTCGGTTTACTGACACTTTTATTGCATAGACAAAAAATATATAACCTCAAATTGTCTACCTTTAATTTCTTTCTAAATTTGTAATGAATGGAAAATGTAATATATTTATCTGAAACCACATTTTACAATATATTTTGCGAGTATTCATTACCTATGTTAAGTTTCCCACAATTGATTAAACAGAGGTAGAACAATACGCGCCAGCAAACTAACGGTAGAAGTGTATCCATTTGTCCAATAACGGCAGGCACTTAGCCGATCTACGACAACCTCTCTTTATTTCTCCAACGTGCAAATATAATTAAGTGTCTCATCTTTATTTCGTAGGATTCATGTATAATTCCTCAAAACAAATATTTTCCTTAGACTCTTCTGTATTGGATATAAATTAGACCTAGGACACTGTGTATTCTTTTAGATTCACTTAGTGGATTTGGCTGGCAGTGAAAGAGCAGATGCAACAGGAGCAACTGGACAAAGACTCAAAGAGGGCGCTCATATTAATAAATCCTTAGTCACTTTAGGATCCGTAATATCTGCTTTAGCGGAATTGTCCGTTGATCAGAATGGTCAAAAAAAGTCTATTTTTATACCATACAGGGATTCTGTTCTTACATGGTTACTGAAAGACAGCCTTGGAGGAAATTCGAAGACTATTATGATTGCTGCGATTAGTCCTGCAGGTAGGCTTTTTTTTTTCATTAGTGCTGATGATTAATTTTTTATGTACACACAAAAATAAAATACAGGGTGAATTAGTACGATGGACTAGTCTTTTTAAGAGTGGAAAAATGAATTGCGCATGCGCGAAATTAAATTAACTAATTTGTCTGAATTTCGCTCAAACAAAAGCAAAAAATAGCTTAAAAAAGAGGAAACGACAAATGATTATTATTGACTTATATTTTTTAACAATTTTTTTAAATTTCCGTTTCATGTCTTATTAATAAACACGTGAAAAAATGACCAAAAAATCCAAAGGTTGGAAGTATTTTATAAATAATTTTCCTAAGAAAATGAAAATACAAATGCAGGACGAAGATTTTATTGCGTGGCTTTTGTGCCCAAGGTCGACTACTTTTCATTGTGACTTATCATTACTTCTCACTACTTTTCTGGACATGTCCGTCGGACAAGTCTAAAAATTACTTTTCAGTGTGGATAATTTCATATCACACAATGAAGCAATCAGTAGAAAACTAAAATGAAACATTCGTTCTACATTCTTAATGATAATATATCTTTTTACGTTTCAAAGATTATTTTTCGCCATATTTATAAAAATATGCACATACGAGGATTGCTTTTTATATTTTGAGATTAGGGAACAAAAACGAATGTTTATCATTGAAAATGGCTCTGTTCGAAATATAAATGGAAATCTTCGTTTACAAAAAAAAAGTGAAAATTATAATTATTCAGTCAATACTTCTATATCACTATTAATTTATAGATTGCAATTATGGCGAGACACTAAGCACTTTAAGGTACGCAAACAGAGCCAAGAATATTATCAATAAACCTACTGTTAACGAAGACCCCAATGTTAAACTTATCAGGGAATTACGAGATGAAATTAGCAAACTTAGAGCACTTATGTTTTGCGAACAAAGAAGCGACATGTTGGCACAACTTTATGAAAAGGAAGCAAGAGAGAAGGTTTGTATGGTGTATGTCAAAAACAGTTGTACTTGTTAATGTTGAGTATTATGTTTATAAAAAACAAAATAGTAAAAATATTTATACATACCAGAATGACAAGCTCCTTAGATTCCAAACACTAATGGTTAATTAGAAATAAAAAAACGGGATGAATCACAAAATATTTTTTTGTGATTGTCTTTATTTTAGAAAAAAATTGAATCACAAGGAGTATAATGGGTTTTTATGCTAAAACTAAAACCAGTAAAAACGTATGTCAAATTCAATGACAGACAGAATGGTTTGTTTTTGATAAAAGTTTGTGTAAAAGTTAATGTTTAGTGGAACCAAAATTACGTCATACTAATATGGCGTATTTAAGGCCTCGGCAGTTTCAGTAAATACCAATATTATATATTTTTTTTTTATAAAAACAATATGCTGTACTGTTGTTGGAACAAACCTAATAATAAACAAGGCTACTGTAATTGTCAATGGAACCAAAATTAGTCATTATCATCGAATAGTTGACAATATAGAAAAGAAACATTGTCAAAATACAATATAAATATATGTACTTTTCGCAGTGTAGTTTCAATGAATAGTTTATGTTCGCATGCTTTAGTTTTCTCAGAGTACCTTTATGGTGAAACTAAAGGTCTGAGATTTCTATCTGTTTGACTTCAAAGTGCTGACCAATATTTTTCTTTCTGCATTGTTTCCAATTCTGTGTCATCACTAACTTAGCGTATTGAATAATGACAAAAGTTAGCTGTAGCTATTTTAATCATATATAATATTAATACTCTCCCTAATTCACCCCCTTACGAGTGAATTTTTTACCCCAAAAGCTGAGTTTGTCCGGGGAAGTGCCGGTTATTATTACTTGCCGTGGCGCTCCGGGGTGACTTAAAGATGACAGGGTGACACACAGGTGAGGAAAACCCCACCCACCATCATCCAAATGGTAACGCATGGCGATTTTTATAATCTGGTTGTCATATCAACTGAAACTAAATTTCTGCTAATACGGCATTCATCAAATCCTATAGAGAACCATGCAAATAAATTTACATGGTCTCTTACTACAAAATTGCTCGCAAATAAACGCTAGCACGTTAGACACCTGCGACACCGCTCCGATAATACCATACATATACACTTTATTTTTCGTTGTTATAAGGAATTTTAATTGTCTTAATATTTTAGGAACTTACTGAAGAATGGACTGGAAAATGGAGAGAGGCTCAAGCGATACTCAGAGAACAGAGAGCTCTTGGTCTAAGAAAAGCAGGTCCAGGCGTTGTTTTAGACTCTGATAGACCTCATCTAGTTGCAATCGATGATGATCCTTTAACAACCGGGGTCACTCTGTATCATTTAAAGGTAACGCACATTGAATAATATGTAAAATGAATTCATACTCAGACTAAAAACAGTGTATTGAATAACTCACGGCTACAATCTCCCCAAAATGCAATTCCGTATCTTAAATGGGACTCAACTAGAGCATAAAATATCTGTTTATCTGGTTAAAACCCTATTTTTTCTGATTGCAAAACATCCAGAAGATCCTCGATCATCGCCGGCAAGGTGTCACAAAAATCACTAATGGTTTAATTATTGTTTGGTAACCAGAATAAACCTCTTTAGATTTTTTTTTAATAATTTTAACTAAGATTTGCTGTGGTAGTATCTACTAGACGACGGCTATTATGATGGATTTGTTAAGTCGAAAGCGCTCTGCCTAATATTAATAAAATTTCATTTTTACATACTGACGTACTCATTTAACTCTTCATCTCATTTTGTTCAAACTTTTATAGGAAGGCAAAACCACAATAGGAACTGAAGAATCTGAAGTCAAACAAGATATAGAATTGAAAGGATCAGGAATGGAACCCCAGCATTGCACTATCACATTCGAAAAGGGTATTGCTACACTAATTCCTTATCCAGGGGCACAAGTAATGCTCAATAATACAGTTTTGGAATCGGCAGCTAGACTTTCTCAAGGCTGTATCATATTTTTAGGCAAAGCTCACGTTTTTAGGTAAGTCTAATAGTATTTTTGAAGAAAACCGACGCTTTTCAATTTTTCACATTTTATTTTGTCATTTAACAGGGTAGTTAAAATTTGCAAAATTAAAAAAAAAAACGCCATTGTTAAAGTAGTAATTTACGTTCAAGGCGTTTTTGTTTTTCCTCTTCAATTGAGTTTGGAATCGTTTGAAACACATTAAGATTATAACAATTTCACCAAATATAATGATTAAAAAAAAATAAAGGAAATAATAAACATAGGGTTGAACCAGATACTAATGAAATTTATATACAGTATCGGCAATACGCATGTCAAAACTACAGAGAGTTAGCATTAGAGTGACCAGGTAACGAATATTATCACTTATGCAAAACGTATCGGAAAACGTTCAGTGTATGTATGATCAGAAGATACGAGGGCCAGTCAAATATAATGAATGTTAATAATTTATTGATGAAAAATAAAAATACAAGACAATCTTAATATTTTTCTACATAAGTCTTCTCGAAAATAAAAACATTTTTGTCAACGCCTGTGAAGCCTTTTGATTCCTTCGTAACGCTGTCCACTTATTGCCTTTCAGTGACCCGAACAAATGAGAATCGCATTATTGTGAAACAAAATCATGTGTCGGATTGGGGCAGGATGAATGCCATTTTACAGGTATTATGACTCTTTTTAAAATATGGCACCAAACTGTGCATAGTACTAAAAAATCCACCAGAGGTCGGTAGAAGGTGAGGTACTGCAAATAAAAACAAATAATGACTGTGAACTGTCCGAAAAATTCAGTTAATTTTAACTTTATCAAGTAAAGAATACGTCTGTATCCATTTTAAATAATGGTACTCTAATAAAAAAATGACGTATTAAGTGAACACCAACATGGGTTTAAACAAAACAATGCAATGTTTGAACTGGTAAATCAAATTAAAATTAACCTAGACAAAGGTAATAAATGTGTAGCAGTATTTCTTGATATGGCAAAAGCCTTTGGACACAGTACCTCACGATAAACTCTTAAATGTTCTAGAACAATATGGAGTGAGAGGTATTGTGTTAAAAATTCTAAAGAATATCTACTTCAAAGAAAACAAATGGTTAAAATGAAAGATACGCTAAGTGACCCAGAAGAAGTAAAAGTAGATGTCCCCTGTTTCGAAATCAAAACATATCAAAACATTTGAAGCCGGTCCTGCGCACCACGCTTTGGGTGGTCTGCTGAATATATATAAAAAATCGTTGTAAACACCTGCTTGCATGGTCTACGTGACATTACCCACGTAAACGTGCAAAACAAGATCACACCTGACTAGCCGACACTATGCATTTGTTCCATCTGTCTCCCTCTATCGCTTTTCTATCTCCCTCAACATATACGTAGCTAACCAAAAAAGAAGCTCACTTTTTAACAAGTCACCGAAGCAAACAGACGTGTATTGAGTTCGCTCTTACACAACATAAAAATGTTATTTAAAAAAAAAATGTTTTTCTCAGCAAAGATAGTATTTAGAATGTAAATAAATATGTAAAAAAGTTTTTGTAAATAAGTGTACTGAAGATTTATGAAGAGTCATAAATAAAAGGTGTTATCTACGATGATTTTGCGAGTTTTATTCCATAAGGAAATTACGACAGTCCATTAGCCGAAGCAGAGAAGAGCCGAAAAATTTAAAAGCTGTGTTGCTGCATACGTGGTTTATCTAGGTATACAGGTAATCACGATCACAACATCCCCAAGAAACTGTTTTTGGACCAACCCTGTTTTTAGTATACATAAACTCCTTATTGAAGACACATGATAATGGAACAGTGATTTCATATGCAGATGACACTGCTACAATTTTAAATGGTCACACTGTGAAAGATGTAAAGATCAAAGCTCAACTGGGCATAAGTGAAGTTAAAAATTGGTTAGATTTTCATAAAATTTCCTTAAATGTTAGTAAAACTACGTTTACAACATTTTCAATAACAAATGTAAATCGACCGAATTGTAACCTACACATAAACAATAACTTCAAAATAAATATGTCTGAAAAACAAAATATTTAGGAATCATAATTGATCAAAATTTCAAATGGAATGAACAAATACAATCTCTTATAACCAAATTGCGAAGGTTTATACACAAATTTTATCAAACGAGAATATTTATGAACCGCAAACAGATAATAATTATTTACAAATCACTAGTAGAGTCAATCCTTCCATATGTGATAATTGTTTTGGGGATTTTTGATACAACCTTACAGCTTCTCAAAGTTATACAAAATCGCATTGTCAAAATTATCTACCAACAACCATCACTTTATCCTACAGCTCTCCTGCACAATGATGAAATCCTAAACATAAGAACACTCTACTTATACTTATGTTGAATTTTCATACATAAAAAACCACATCTAAGAACTATTGCTACACATCCCCACAACACAAGAGCCAAGTCAAATAACAGCTTAATGACATCAACATGTCAACGTGATGCCAGTCAACGATTTGTAACCACAGTTGCTCCCAAATTTTTTTAATAAACTACTGATTAACATAAAAATACAATCAAATTACATATATTTCGACTTAAAGCTAAACAATATGTTACTGTAAACTTAGATTTATTTAAGGATATTTTATAAATTTGATACACCTCCACCCCACATTTGAATAAGATAATAATAATAATAATAATAATAATAATAATAATAATAATAATAATAATAATAATAATAATAATAATAGTTTATTATTTGCCAATAAAATATAAAAAAAAAAACAAAAATACACTAAATATACTAATTAGGCAAATAAAAGGTCGAGTGATAGGTCATAAGACCAATTCTACCTCACTCGCCTTAAAAAAAATAAATAAGTAAAATAAAGAGTAAAAATACATATACATATCTAGAATAATTTAAAAATACAGTTAAAAGAATAATTAACTAGTGAAAGGAACCTTAATCTATATTAATAAATATTAAAAATCACAAAAAAAGACTTAAAATTTAAAATGTCTGTTCGCGTAAAAAAATTTGTTTGTATTTATTTTTAAAAGCTGTTAATGAAAGACTGAAATTTGGTATATCAAGAAGATGACTGTTCAATGCAATTTGGTAGCTAAATGATTTTTTGAATATTTGTTTATTATGAGATGGAATGGTAATGGCATTCTTTTTCCTTAAATTAATATGATGGACGTCGGTCCGAAAACTTATCTTTTGATGTAAGTATGAGGGAATTTTGGTCTTAACTATTTTATAAAATAAATAGAGAGAATGAAGTTTCCGACGATTAAACATGTTCAGCCAATTCGCCTCTTTTAATTTATAAGAAATCCTCTCCCTTCTCCTTATGCCATAGATCATCCTTAAACAACTATTTTGTACTTTCTGAATTCGATTCTTATCAATTAATCGTAAAAAAGAACCATATACCGTGTCGCAATGATTAAAGTGCGATAAAACAAGAGAATCAGTAAGCATTTGTTTAGTTGCAGTAGACAAATCTGTTCTATGTGGATAAATTAGTTTTAAGGAAGAGTAGGCTTTCCTAACCTTCTCGTTAATATGTTTATCAAACCTTAATTGCGAGTCAATAGTCAAACCAAGATTTTTACACGAGGAACTAATTTTTAAAATTTCATTCCCCAAGGTGATTTGTATTTGTGGCAAGATCAGCTGTCGGTTATTTTCACTGCAAAATACAATAACATAACATTTTGTTGAGTTGATATGCAATGAGTGTTTTTCAGATGCACTTACAAGAATAGAGAGATCGTCATTAATACGCCTGACCGACTCTTCAATTTTAGACAGTTCAAAAGAATAATAAATTTGTGTATCATCTGCATATAAATGGCTCTTACAATGATTTAGATGTGAATGTAGGAAGGATGTATAGATGTTTTTTTTTCTTTTATCGTCACAACACGTTTTGTAAATTTATACTTTAGTTTAGTTTATTTGTATGCTATAGCACACACAGGTGGACACACCTAGATACTTATATTTTTCATTCTTTAAATTATTATTAAGTGACTAACCTTCAAATATAAAATGTATATGTAAATCTTAAATAAATAAATAAATAAATAAATGTATTAAATTAATGTCTACTAATCATACTCTTATGTAACAAACGAAATGAAAAGTGAAAACAACGAGAAGAAAAATACCGCATAAACTATAATAATAACCACCCATATTTCATCAAAACAAAGTGAGAACATTATTTTTTTTCATCATTTTTATGGTGTACGAGACAACAATAATTAAATAAGGAAAATAGAGTGTATTCTTTCCTACAAAATTGTAAATATTGTTTAAATGGATTTTGAAAAAATAAGTGTTAGTGACATTTTGATGTTATGTTTACAGAAGAGTAGGTATTAAAAAATGATTGCCACATTTTAGATAATTAATAAACACATTAACATTTGATATGAGTACATCATTCATATCTAAGATCAACAATAACTAGACTAGACAACAATAACTAGAACTCAACAATAAATAATATTGCAATATTATTAGAGTTGTGAATAAAATACAATTAATGAGGCTAATAACCATAGCAGTTGATGCCGATGACACAAAAAAAAATACAATTAAATTTGTTTGTAAATATATTAAAATATATATTTTTCATTACAATTTCTCCCCATGATGTTTTTTATTTCACAATTTATTGAAACAAGTAAAATAATAATTAGTTAATTAATTGAAATAATAGTTAATTAAAATAATAATTAATTATTTGTATATTTTTAAATACCACCCTCAGTCAGGTCCTCTCTTCGGCAATTAATCAGGTAGATGCAATCATCGACGAAACATTTTTATTAATCTGTCAAACGATTGACCAATCAGCTAAATAACCAAATCTTGATTTAGAACACAAAACATTATATGCTTGAAGGGTAGATCCATGAAGGAAGAATATCATCATTAAAATAACGGTCTTTGGTAGTCAATTCTCGAATTGAAGAATCTATCATTTCAATAAAAGGAATTACTTTTTTAGTGGATCAATCATTTAAAGCTATTCTTCAAATGATAACTTTTCTTCAAAATCAAGCGTATATACCGATATATGCTTGAGATAGAGTAGGATAAGTGGTCCCATCCACAAGATACCTACCCTCTAGATCAGTGTTTCTCAAAGTGTGCTCCGCGGTGCCCTGTGCCTCTGTGGGGGCTCCGCGAAGAAAATAATGGTCATAATAAAAAAAAAGGAGAGTAGTATGATGTAGTATTGTGGGAAACTTAATTAAACTTCTTGCTGTGACATAACGCTCTTACTCATTGTAAGAAGATATCGGCCGGGGTCATAGCATGCATCCCCTCTTATTTACATTCCTACACTCTTACTCCACGTATGACAATTCTGGTTTGATAAGTATAACTTTTCTAGAGAACCCTGTATAATTGAAATTCTTTTTAAATTATTTGCTTTTCTGATATACATCTCTTTGTAAGCGTTACTAGTTACCCACCCTGTATATTATTATTCTACAGTAAACCCACGTTTCCAAATAAAATGTTTGAAATATCGTCAAATTAATTGTTTGTAAACAATAAATATTAACTAAATGTACAAAAATATTTATTTTTCATTGCTCTATCTGTTTGTCATCCTGTTCATTAAGCATTATCTATGCATATTTTTTGAATTGATTTTATTAATCAGTCGTATTGTTTGAATATGCACTAATCATAACATTAAAATATTTTAGATTTAACGACCCCGCCGAAGCAGCCGAGTTACGAAAAGGAGAGAAAACATACAATTTATCCAGGTTGAGTTTGTTAAGTTGGTCTACTCCAGACTTGGCCATATCCATGGAAAATTTACAAATGTAAGTAATTATTTGACTTATCTAAGTATTTAGATAGTTTTTTCTCTCTAAATAATACACAATATGTAATTTTAATTATCAAACAATGAAGGCAAACAATTAATAATACATTTTTGTTTTTGATATTATTGGATTGTAGGTGTTTTTATTTTTAAATAAAATGATACCGTTTATTTATTATGATTTGTAAAGCTCTCGGCGATTTAGTAGTAGTTTATTAAAAAAAAACAAAGCATTATCTTGTGGTTGAAGGACATAAACACACTGGAAGTGCTAAAAATACACTTGCTATTAGTAATTTTCATGCTTGTTTCGGGATGTTCTTCAATTTGATGCTAAATAGCTTCTTCTACCACTGCAGTTCTAAGTAGCCAAGCACAAAATAACTTCATCTGCAAACATATAAAGAAGCTAGAATTCTTGTAATTTTATCAGGTACTCGAAACCATTTAATAAAAATGCCGTTTGTTTTAGGAATAACGACGATGATAAAAACGATAATAAGGTGGAAATAGAGAGTCAGAGACTTCATTTCGTAAAAGAGAAAGAACAATTCGAAAAAGAACAAGAAGCCTTCGAAAAGCAACAAGAAGTGTTTGAAAAAAAGAAACGCAGTTTGGAAGAGGCTCAAGCGAAATTGGAAGCTGAGAAGAAAACAGTTCAAAAGGAATTTGCACAGCAGGTAATTTGAATGAAGCAACTAAATATCTTTTGCACTATATTCTGTCCAACCAACAAAAAAAGTTACTCAAACAACGATCAATGCGTGATCGATGCATGATTACCGCCAGGGCCGAAGAGAGGGCGGGGTAGCCGGGACTAATTCCCGGGGCCCGGGCTCAAGTGGGGGCAAAGCAGCGTCATAAAGGGGGCTCGGCAGGTGAGGACGTTTTTTAGAAGTTTGCCACGAAATGCCATCAATAAAGTCAATCATAAAGGTTCCACAAGTTATTGAAAAAAATTAATTTTAAATTAAAAAAAAGGGAGAAATAGTTTGTTGCTCGAGATACCATAAATAGTATTGTGGAGACGAGAATATTTAATTAAAATAAGTGCCTATAGATGAGAGAATAGAAAAATTTATTATCTAGATGAAACGTGGGAAACGCAGGCCAAACTAAGTCCAAAATTTGGGTTGATGAATCCATAAATTTCTCAAGGGAAGCTTCGCTAGCCTCTCAACTGGGTTATTAAGAAGTTGCTAGTTGGTCTACATATTCAAAATATATTAAATTCTGTTTCATTTAAAAGAAAAAAATTAGCTTGTGTCAAATTTGCACCATCTCATTATTTTGTTCCCAAAATTCGTAATTTTATAATTTAATTAATTTCATATGCTTATTTAAGCAAGATTAAACCTTTTTTACTAAATACATGAAAAAATAATTATTTCATGTTGGTTGGAAACATCTAAAACTTTGAAACCAAATTTGTCCATTAAACAACAGACTTTACTAACATTTGTTTTTGCCTTATTCCGAAACTTGCTAAATTTGTAATTTTTCAGTAGCTGACATTTCAAAACATCTTATTCTTCTTTATTCTTTTATTGGGCTATGTTATGCTGAACAATTTACCCAATTTTAAAACCTCATTTTTGGCAGATTGTCGCCAAAAATTAAATAAGCAGTAGATTCTTTTGTTTTAGCTAAAACAAAATAAATTCCCCTTTAGAAAAAGAAAAAGGTTGATAATATATCACATAGGAAGGGAAACCGGTTTTGTCCCCAATACCTTGTGGATATTTGAGTCGAAGAAGACGAGCAGCTATCATGAGGAGAAGAAGAAGGATAGCAAATCGTTTGAGAATTGGTTTAGTAACAATTTCCTAAAAGAAAATTGTGTAAATGTTTTAAAAAACGCCCCATACCATTCAAGAAAAGCTGAAAAATTTCCTACTCACGCCACAAGAAAATCTCTAATTCAAGAATGGTTGCATAGATAATAACATGGTAAAAGCAGAACTTTCGAGGATAATAAATGAACAATTTTTTAGCACTCTTTTTGTTGAATAGTCGGTAAACCGTTAATATATTATATGTCTTTCTCACCATTATATGAACGTTGAGCTTTTTTTAACTGAGTTTGTTGAATTTTAGTCTTATCAAAACCAAGTTTGTAACTTTTAGCCTCTAGTTTTTTTTACGGGAAGTCACTGCCCTTTTAACTTGAAAGGAACTTGTTAATATCACTTTAATAGGTCGAGGTTTTGCATTACTTACTCTTCCGACACAAATAACTTTTAACAGTTCAGTATTCCCGACACTAGCCTCGTTTAAAATATCTTGCACAACTTTTGTATTATCAGTGATACGCACATTTAATTCATTTAAGCTAGATTCTGGAACGTTGTAAACCATCAACTTATTGGAGCGCGAGATCCTTTGCTGAATGTCATCATAGCGACGAAGAAGATTTCTTAGTCCTTAAAGAATTAATCTCAGTTCAAATGGTGGTTAAAATCACTAAAATATGTACATTAAAAAATAAAATGAAGATTATAAGTAATAACTGTTTAATATGAAATGTTAAACATATAACAAATCATTAAAACACTTTGATGCTTAAAGATTTATTTGGAATATTTTAATAAAACTTTTTAATATAACCATAACATAGAATCATAATAAGTCGCATGATAAATGACTTAACACTTGACACACAATTAGAGTGGTTTTACATAACATTCAAGCTATATTACCATTCTTATGGTACATCCATACTTTTGGTGCATTCAACTCGAATACTTTTACTGAATAACCGAGTGCTTTTAGTTCTGACCTGATTTTGGGCAGCATTTTTATTATTTGAATTTATCTAGAGCAGTGTATCTCAAACTCTTTTGGCGGCGAAACCTTTTTGAAAAGCGAAATATTTGACGGGACCCTAAACACATTTCTATAGGTCCCTCCCTTTTGTGGCTATAGTACTGCTTTTTTTTATTATTAGTATTATTTTCTTCGTGGAGCTCCCACAAAGGCTTTGTGGAGCCTCAGGGCTCCGCGGAGCCCACTTTGACTAACGCTGATCTAGAGTAGTGTATAAATAAAATATAAAACTAATTTCATCAGACAATACTGACTGGAATAATAAATTATTAATGATTGCATTATTTAATTGTTTAGACTCGTCAATTACAAGAAGATTGGCGTAATCTGACGGCTCATCAAAGACAAAAGGAAATCGAGTTAGAAACGAAAGAGAAGGAATTGATTTTGAAAAAGGAAAAATTGGAGAGAGAACGAAAGACTATTGTATCTGAAGTGAGTATTTTATTAACTTTGCCAATATTTTTTTTCTTTATTTCTAGCTAGAGGTATATAGTACTTTAGTATGCTTCAATTTTAAATAAAACTTATTTATTGGTAAAGGTTTGAATAAATATATATTTAATATATATTTTTTTTTTGTTAATGATAATGTTATATTTTGATTCTTTTAAGAAATCAGACCACTAAAATTAAAACTGAAGTAATTTCTGAGTGATAAAGCATATTACAACTTAGACGAATTCTTCTGTAATGCAGTAATTATATAAAATATTTTGTATTTCTTTAGGATCACTACTTATACTTAATTAGAACTTCTTTAATTATTGGTCTGCAATGTCTTATACAGATTTATATTGGATAGGCAAATAATTTTTTTTATTTCTGTTAATAAAATGTGAGATATTAGGAATTTAATATTAATTATCAATACATTTTGAGTTGTTTGCATGTTGATTTTTATTACTCATTATACTCTTATAGAAGTTATTAAAAGGATCAAAATATACAGCATATTTTTTATTTTATTTAATTTATATAATTTAATTTGTTTTCAGTTTCGCTTTTATTTTTTATATTTTTTTTTATTTTTTATTTTCATAGATAGAATGCGAATGTACGAACCTGCAGGATCTTAAGAGTGATATTTTAGTAAGGCTGGCGAATGCTTGTGAGTTAGTTTCATCAAATGCTAATGAAATATTGTTTCCCAGCCCGAAAGCTAAATCTACCTTTCAGGTATATTTTAGTTATATTTTTATTTTTATTTTATTATTTTTTCTCACCGATTTGCAATTATATAAAGCTTATAAATGTTTTTAGGAACTGGTTTCTAAATCAAATCAAATACCATTATTACCTCATGAAAATGATAGTTTGATAGATATTTTTAACAATGTTTCTGGATCTTCTATCATTAAAGATATTGTTGATAAGCACGTAGGTTTTACTTTTTTTAAGTTTCTCATTTTTTATTATTTATAATTATTTTATTTGACAGAGAAAAGAACTTGCAGAACTTCAAGCCGAGCTAAATAGAAGGGTTCAAACGTTATGCGAAAGACAAAGAAGCGTCGAACTGCTAGATAAAAAAATTATCGATCTCGTCGATCAACAAAAGTCTTTAACTAAAGACGAAAACAAAAGTGACGAACTAGAAATTCTTAAACAGGAATTGTGTAAAAGAACAGAAGAGGAATTAAAGAAAATCGAACAAAAGAAACAAGGGTAAGTTGTTTGCAACATGCCTAAGTATATTCACGGTAGGTTACGTTCTAACCTCGGGATCTGGAATTGTGTATTATTGAATGTTTTTATTTTATTTTAATACAATCCCTCTACGATTTGAGCTTAGTAACATTTCTCGAGTATAGTAAATTTAATTTTTCATTTATAAGGCTCGAAACAGACCGTTTAGGTCTATGGCCTGATTAGTTTCTTCCATTCGTCACTGTTCTTGGCTTTTTCTTTCCAGTTGATGATCTTTTTTTCATTAATTGTAACCTTTTTGACTGTATTATTTCGTATATGTTGAGTTTGTTAAATATTTTGTAGATTTCTTTATTTGTTGGTCTTTCCCATCCTTCTTCTGTCTTTTTGCCCCCATATATTCTTCTTAGTATCTTTCGTTCCCATATTTCAATCTTGGTCTGTTCTTTCTTATTTAGTGTCCATGTCTCACTGCCGTATAGCATTGTAGGTCCGATTGTTGTTTTGTACACACATTTCTTTATTTCCCATGACAAATTCTTTAGATTTTAGTAAATTACCTAAAGCTCCTGCGCATCTATTGCCCTTTGCTAGACGGATATCTATTTCAGCTTGTTCTTCGCATCTATTTGTAATTAGAACACTGAGGTACATGTAACTGTTTGTTTCGTTTATTGTTATTTTTCCTATAGTTTTAAATTATAATTCTAGTTTTCCAGGATTTTTTCTTAAATGTTTGTTTTTGAGTTGCTTGTACTGACTCTTTTTCATTTATTCTTAGCCCTATTTTTCGTGCCGTGTCTAATAACTGTTATGTTTTTAAGTTCTTTTTGGCTTCTCACTAACAGTACGACATCGTCTGCGTATGCTAATGCTTGGTGGGATCTGTTGATCAGAGTTCCATATCTGTTTATTCCACTGTTTCTGTTTACTATTTCAAGGGTTAAGTTAAAAAGAAGGGTGGATAATGAGCCTCCCTGCCTAACCGTGTTGGACTTCAAATCCTTCGGTTTCCTCACCTCCTACTCTGATTGCACACCTTGTACTTTCCAGGGTCATGTTCGTCAGTTTTACAAGTTTAAGAGGTATTTTTAGTTCTTTCAAATCATTTACCAATTTTCGTCGATTTCCTGTATCATATGCGCTTTTAAAATCATTAAACATAAATTTAATAATACAATTAAAAAATAAAAATTGATTACAGATGGTTTAACTTTAAATTGGATAACAAATGGCGCCCAACGTGGGGCCGTTTCCTGATTTTAATAAAGTTCTTTTCGTCTCCTCAGTATTATCAATTCTCACTTTAGGCTCTTCCGGTGACTGTAAGTACACTTGCCCTGGCAATTTATGCATTATTTCCCGATAGCTTATGGTCGTTTTCGTAAAATGATACTTATGACATCTTTACAACCTTTTGTCTATATTTTCTAGTTTTCGCGATATCTTGCAAAACAGCAATTTGAGACACCATGTATTCTGCCTTTTAATAATAAACGAATTATATATAACTGTACATTTCTATATTTTTAGGTTAACTCTGAACCTAAAAAGAGTCAATTCCGTTGACAGCCCCGATTCGTGCGAAGTAAACTATACAAGTAGCATAGAAAAAGTACCAGACACTCTTAGCAGCGATACAACTTACCACACGGCCCCGAATACGTGTTCTCCACGTTACGTCGATTCTAAGTTAGATCCTTTGATGAGCGATAGCGGCGTGGAATTAAGGACGTCTTCGAGGCCTCAAGACGAAAGCGATCTCTCTAGCAACGAAGATAAGGTTGGTTTGATCTTTAATGACCTACTAATTAATATCCGAAGTGACTTGCGCGTTTAAATTAACCATGTAATATAAAGAAAAAGACGTTGAGCAACTGGAGATTAATTCTGTCAAAATTTAAATGTCGGTACTTCAATTGTTTATTATTAAACGGGAAAACCCTTATTACAATATTAAATAAAAACACAATAAAATATAAATTATAGAAATACAGATTTTGAAATGAAATATCAAAAATATTATTAATACAATTTTTGGAACTCCCTAATTCCTTACAAAATTAAGAAATGTATCTCCACTTCCTAAAAGTGAAAACAAACCAAAGAAACAGTTAAATAAAATAAAAAATGTCGGATCGAAACTGGAACATAGTAGTAGTAATTTAAATTCCGACTCTTGATAGTATTTCCATTGAAGGTAATTTAGTTTCCGAAATTTATTATTTTGTTTGATTTCATGTTAAATTGTAAAAAGCCGCCTTATCTATTTTGTTCGTTTTTTTTTCTTCACACCGTTCGAAGTAAAAACGAATTTTGAAGCCCGTTTAAAATAAATCGTTTTAAATTAGCTGTAGTTCAAAATATTTTCGCACCTGATATAATATTTTGTTTACGAAAATTATTTCTTTTCGAGATAATTTTATTATTTCTATGAATTTCTATGAATTTCTATGAATTTCTATTAATTTCTATTAATTTCTATTAATTTCTATGAATTTCTATGAATTTCTATGAATTTCTATGAATTTCTATGAATTTCTATGAATTTCTATGAATTTCTATGAATTTCTATGAATTTCTATGAATTTCTATGAATTTCTATGAATTTCTATGAATTTCTATGAATTTCTATGAATTTCTATGAATTTCTATGAATTTCTATGAATTTCTATGAATTTCTATGAATTTCTATGAATTTCTATGAATTTCTATGAATTTCTATGAATTTCTATGAATTTCTATGAATTTCTATGAATTTCTATGAATTTCTATGAATTTCTATGAATTTCTATGAATTTCTATGAATTTCTATGAATTTCTATGAATTTCTATGAATTTCTATGAATTTCTATGAATTTCTATGAATTTCTATGAATTTCTATGAATTTCTATGAATTTCTATGAATTTCTTTGAATGTCTTTGATTTTGTTTTGAATTTCTTTGATTTTGTTTTGAATTTCTTTGAATTTCTTTGAATTTCTTTGAATTTCTTTGAATTTCTTTGAATCTCTTTGAATCTCTTTGAATCTTTTTGAATCTCTTTGAATCTTTTTGAATTTCTTTGAGTCTCTTTGAATTTCGTTTATTTTTCTTTTAATTTCCTTTAATTTCTTTGAATTTCTTTAAATTTCTTTGAATGTCTTTGATTTTGTTTTGAATTTCTTTGAATTTCTTTGAATTTCTTTGAATTTATTTGAATTTCTTTGAATTTCTTTGAATTTCTTTGAATTTCTTTAAATTTCTTTGAATTTCTTTGAATTTCTTTGAATTTTTATGAATTTCTTTGAATCTTTTTGAATCTTTTTGAATCTTTTTGAATCTTTTTGAATCTTTTTGAATCTTTTTGAATCTTTTTGAATCTCTTTGAATCTCTTTGAATCTTTTTGAATCTCTTTGAGTCTCTTTGAATCTCTTTGAATTTCGTTTATTTTTCTTTTAATTTATTTGAGTTTCGTTTATTTTTCATTTAATTTCTTTTAATTTCCTTTAATTTCTTTGAATTTCTTTGGATTTCTTTGAATTTCTTTGAATTTCTTTGAATTTCTTTGAATTTCTTTGAATTTCTTTGAATTTCTTTGAATTTCTTTGAATTTCTTTGAATTTCTTTGAATTTCTTTGAATTTCTTTGAATTTCTATGAATTTCTTTAAAAAAAATTTTTAATTTAAATTTCTTTGCATTTCTTTGTATTTCTTTGAATTTCTTTGAATTTTCTTTAATTTCGTTTATTTTTCTTTTAATTTCTTTTATTTTTCTTTTAATTTCTTAGAATTTCTTGTAATTTATTCGAATTTTTTTAAAAATTTCTTCGGATTTTTTAAAGAATTTCTTCGAATTTTTGGATATTCTACGAATTTCTTCGAATTTCTTTAAATTTTTATATATTTCTATGAATTTCTATAAATTTTTATATTCCATGTATCCGTTCGTCCATCTGTCTATGTTACTTTTGACAATGCTCACTTTCGGATCAAAACTTGCAGTTACTCTTGCAGCCTCTTCATCAGTTTGTTTTCTTTGTCTGCAGTACAAATGCTGGTAATTTTAAAGATCCACCTATATCAAAGCATATTTTTTGTCCTTTTTGATCTATATGAAATTGAATAAAAAAAGTTTTTATTTAAAATGTTGCTTTAAAATTGTAATCAAGAAAATAAAATTGTTTAATTAACCCTTTCGCTGCAGGAACCGCACATATGTGTCATTTTTTTCCACGAGGTGTGTGTGTGTGTGTGTGTGTGTCGACTTTTTGCGCAATGTCTACAGCATTGGGAAGCCCGCCGCCTGTGAGAGCAAATCTTTGATGTTGCGGTGGTCAAAATTTAAATAAAAGTTGAAGTTTCTGTCGGTTATTACACTGGGAAAAATAATCAAGATTTGAAAGTAACAAATATTACATAATTCTTAACTATTACACCGACCACCTACTCGACTGATAAACTGATTTTTTGTACCACTGACTGGGCTTTCATGCTGGTTACTAGTTTTGTAAAATCGATGTTTAGAACTTTCTCGTAAAGATAAACCGCATTTCGGTTTTCAGAATACATTTGGTTAGCCTCATGATAAGAATTTCATGAATTTTAGTTTCCACCATCATGTTACCAAGTGTCCAAATCTTTAATTTCCATGTTTGGTTAAATTTGCATACATTAAATCAAATAATCTCCAGTTGCTCCGTTCAGCCATGTATATATAATTAATGAATGTATTATGTTCTTGTTTACGGGGCGAGTGTACTTCGTTTTTCCTTTAATTTTATTTAAAATAAAAAACTTTTAAATCAACATTTAAAAATATGAAGCTGCATGACATTACTAACAACTTTTTCATTTTATTCGAGGAAATTAAATATCTCTCTGTTGCAAAATGCGGTTAAAATTATCTTTTATATTATCAAACATATATTAGGAGCACCATTCACAATTTATTAATGATGGATTAAGATTTATGGGATAAGTTACTTTTTAAATTTATAGTTTACAAGATAATTCAATATATAATTTTAATTACTTTTTAAAAATAAATTAATAAAGCAATATTCAAATATTTTATTGATGTATTGAGAACATAATCAGTCGATTGTAAAAATATTCGTTAAAATTAATGGGCCTCATAGACTTTGACAGAACTTGAGAATATCATCTTCTGAATGACATGAACTTCAAATTACTCCAGTCTAAATGTCATAGTTTATCAGGCTTATAAATGTAAATGAATTTTCTTGCATAGTTCTTGTATTGCTTAATTCATCATAATTCATTTTAACGCTTTATGTTCAATTTCTCTATTATTTCTAATTTCCAGCCGCTTAACTTTTTGTTTTGTCTTTTATTTTTTCTGCTACATGTTGTCTTTGTTATTGAAAGGTGTTGGTTAGTGACTCACAATCGACTAGTTCAATAGAAAATCGATCGCCGACAAGTAGGAAAAATAGGAGACGGGACACAGAAATATATCTGAGAAGATTATCTCAACGAATTGCCCAACAAAAACAACTTATCGTCAGAAATTTGGACGGAAATTGTTTGAAAATCCATTTAGACAATCAAATAGCAGTAAGTATTTTGTTTTCTATTGATCTAAGGATGTGAGATCTTGACGTACGTGGGTTATGGAGTTCGTTTGTAAATTTGTGGTTGTAAATTAGCAAAACTTCCTATATTTTTATGACACTTTTTATTTTTATTTTTTCATCTACATATCTCGGCTATTTTTAATCTAATTATCTTAAAAATAAATGATAATGTATATAGCGTTTTAGATAGTATCATAGTGATAGTTACTTATATAAAGGGTGTCCCAATAAGAATGCACATTTTAATTGTGCAATAAAAGTCAGAATTTATTTTAAACTAAGTGTTATTTATATTTTAATTTAAAGTTAATACACTGCAATCAAACATGAAAAATAACATCTGGCAAATCGCCGCCCCGACTTTGGTGACTCTTCATTCTTTTCAAGAAAATTTCAATCACATTTTCACACAATTATCGCCCAATTTTGCTAATAACGCGTTCAATTTCATTCTTCAAGTGTGGAATTGTTGTTGGTTTATTAGCGTATACGAGGGATTTTAAAAAACCCCAAAGAAAGAAATCACAAGGCGTTAAATCGCACGATCTTGCAGGCCATTTCTGATCTATATTACGTGAGATGACACGACCGGGAAACTGAATTGCTTCGCGTGTAGTGTGACATGTCACACCATCCTGCTGATACCACATAGCTTCCGTATCCATACCATCCAGTTGAGGCCACAAAAACTCAGTGAGCAAGTTACGATAGCGTTCGCTGTTCACAGTAACTGCATTTTCTGTCTCGTCCTCAAAGAAGTACGTTCGAATCACTCCACCTGCCCAAATTGCGCACCAAACAGTGACTTTTAATGGATGCATTTTCTTCTCGTGAATAACTCTAGTATTTTATTCACCTCAAATCCGGCAATTTTGTTTATTAACAAAGCCGTTAAGGTAAAAGTTTGCCTCATCGCTGAACAAAATATTTTTCGAAAAATCGACATTCATTTGTTGCTTTTGCAATATCCAAGAAGAAAATGTACGGCGTGTTGCATGATCCAATGGCTTCAATTCTTGGGTCAATTGAATCTTATAAGCATGGCAATGAAAAACTTTTGTAAGAATTCCATGGGTAGTGCTCTTTGAAATGTGCAACTGCTGTGAACGATGACGGTGACGCACTGGTGTTTTCACGTCCATGACAGAACCATTTTGCTCAAATTTGTTAAGTATTCTTTGAACGGTTGTGTGATTTGGCGCATTGTGTCACAATATATCCCCTATAGTAGTATATTTCACTTGTTAAAGATATGGCACTAAGTTTGCAGCGCTTAATGCGACTGGCCGCAGCGGAATGGCGGGAATTTTTAAATATATACATTCAGCAATATTAATTGAGTATATTGCATGTTCCATTAAACGAGCTGTAAATCCAGGAGCTATTTTTATTTTGATAGCTAAAATAATACGAATTCTTTTATTGTTAGCTATTACAATAAGAATAGCGTTTGGGTTAACAACACATTTAAAAGAACATGTAATATACTTTTCAATTTTACCTGAATTTATTTTTTGGATCTGAAAAAAAAAAATGGTTCTGGTAAAAAAACAAAAATTGCATAAAATATTTTATTTGAAAAATGATAAAACTTATTTAATTTATTTTAAAGTCGAGAATAATTCTAGCCATATCCATTTTACTGAAAAAAAAGACACTATATTAAATGAAATTATTTAGTTATTAAGAGATGTTTGTGATAATACAGTGTCAGCTATCTAATGTTTTACAATACGTTTTGCTAATGTCCAAGTGGAAACTACAAAGAGTTAGCATTAATGCGAAACGTAATGGAATACTGTGAACATAACCAGCCGGCTACGTGGGGATGCATCGCACCGTGTGCCTGTTCATATTACAAAGCACACGAAGCATTCATATTATTAGTTTCCTGATCGCACTAATGCTAACTCTTTAGCTTTCGCTTCGATGCTAGCCAAGCGTAACATTTTTAGTTTAAATGGATCGCTACTTCGAAAAAGGAGAAAAACTGAAACAGCAAATTATTATAGTTGAATTTTAAAAGCTATTGCCACTGGAAAACTATTATCTAGGGCGGGGACCCTTGGATGACAGTTTTGCTTCCCATATTAAATAAGTAAGCACTTAATACAACACAATAAATATCGCTGAAACAAAATTAATAGTAATAAACGGTATAAATTTCGTAGAAGAAAAATCAAAATATTATCACTTGTCAATACAAACACTTCGCGCTTCGCTTGTCAAAAACTTCGTCTTCAATCAATGAACGTGCCGATGTCAGACGTGTCAAAATTCAAAACGATACTAGCGCCATGTGCCCCTGTGTCTAGCCGCAGCGTAACTCAAAGCCATTTCTTGAAACCCAGTGACATTACTATAAGGGATATATTGTGCATTGTGTCGATCAAAAATGCCACTCAATTTACGAACTGTTTCCGTATAACATTCTCCATACTTGTAATGTGTTTTAACAATAATAATTCGTTGTTAGACCGTATATCGTTCAATGGCTACTAATCGCAAACTGTTTACATTATTATTATCATTTGTTTTTTGGCCTACTGCAAATACGGTGAAAATGCCGCGCAATTCAAAGTGTGCATTCCTATTGGAACATGCTTTACTTATATATTTTAAATGTTATACTTAAATACATCTACAATAATTTTGGTATATACGAAACCAATTTTAAAACATTTTTATACCTCTAAATTATATTACAGGTATTGCAAGAATTACAACGACAATATATGTCACTTAAATACGGTTGTACTTCATCTTTATCTCCAACGTCAGAACATCCACTACAAGACATTGATAGTCCAAGTCCGATTAGACCATTACATACAGGGTCCACTTCTGCTCTCTACTCGCCCGCATTACAGGTAAATTTATCATTTATCTACTAATGGGTCTAGTATATTTCATTACCTAGATACAGGATGTTTTAAGAATTTCGAATGAATTTTATTTGGCAAAAACTCAACAACCACTCCATAAAATTTTCAAATTTGTAAATAGATTTTTCTCGATATAGCAGAAATAATGTCAGAAATCCAGGGCCGGCTTAACAAAATTTGGTTATTTCTTTCCTCTTCGATAGCAACAAATAACATTTTGCATATCTAATAAGTTATTTCAAATTTGTGCATTTGTGTGTAATTTTGCCAACTTTAGAATTAAAAAAATAATTAATTTTTTATATGTGTGTACTTTTCAAGTGTCAATTTTGCTTATTTCAGTAGTTAACATTAAACAATTATTTTTTAAATACCCTGTGTAATGAAAAATAAGGCAATTAATAAGGATCAAAAAGATTATAGTAAATTAACAAAAATTAGTTCGACCAAAAAATTATTCACTTACAAACATAATACTCATATTTATAGTTAATCCAGAACCTATTAAAAAAAAAAGAAAATTAAGTTATTTCGTAGTGGCAGGTCTCAATTACCTAAACAATACGTTAATTGATGCATCGGGCAAATTAAAGATGATACACTACATTCACTTCACACAAACACCTACACACTTATTAAAAAATAAACATTCATTATATTTGAACGTGAGATGAATGAAGAGAGTAATTGCCCAGACAACACACCAAATCCCAGAGATATCTACAGAATATCTTTTGTGGATATCCAATATATCCACAGGACATCAGAAATATTCCGTGGATCTAATATGGATATCCAAATGTCCGTCTATATCCAGAATATAGAAGATATCCTAATGGATATTCAGCAAAATATCTAATGGGTATCTTCCAGAAAATACAAGAAATTCCAGAGATATCCACAGAATATATTTTGTGTATATTCAAAATATGTCCGTCTATATCCCAGGATATAGAAGATATTCAGCAAAATATTTTATGGGTATCTTTAGTAGAGGTTCATAAGTAACCAATGATTTATTGAATAACGTCGAAAGAAAATAGCAGACATAAAAAATATTTTCAACACTGCCTTTGATTTTGCCCACTAAGGAGAAAGTCATTCTTATTAGGACTCTTCAACAATAAATGGAAATTCTCGACTCCAGTCTCTAATGAAGTCTGAATAAAACAAAAATTTCGGTCGAACTCTATTACGGCGGGTCAAGCATGAGTAGATGCGAAAGTGCTATCGCCATCTATACTTAGTAAGCAAAATCAAATAACATCTAGTGGATATCCACGATGGTTTGCGTTCGCGCCTAGACTTTGATATATTTAGTGAATGTCCATGGGATATTGAATACACCTTAAAAAAATTAATTTTAAATATCTGAACGGTACTATTAGCCACAATGGCGAGCACAATGGCGTAATTTTTTAATAATTTGCTATATAATTACTATTATTTATAGACATTTGTATGTCTATAAATTACATATCATGGATATAAAATAGATATCCACCATGGACTGGACATTCAGTGGATATTGGGATGTGCAGTAGATATCCAAAGGATTTGGTGTGCTCTCTGGGTGATTTAACCACGCCCTTACGATGGCAAACATGGGAATATTGCTGACCGCAGTCGGCGAACTATTATTCTATTTCTCTCTATTCAATAGCATTGTGTTTCTATATCGTTTTCCTGGTGTGAAGACTGAAAAGTTAACATAATGTATAAACCCAAACATAAAATATTCATTTAACTAATTGATCATTGTTTTCAGAACCAGAATCAACGAATTTCACCTTTAAATCAAAATTTATACAGATCAATGCCTTCCATTAATATTGGTAAGTACAAATTTTAACTAATTTTTAAGTATTTCTGCAGTTAATAAATAAAAACAGGTTGATTTTAAATAAGAACTTTTTCGCGACCAGTAGCAAAATAATCACAAATGCCATAGCAAAATCGATTTCAGATTCATTAATATAGATACTTATTGTTTTTTACAATTTCAAGTTGCCTAAAACCCCTTCCCCAAAATAGTCACCAGTTCTCCGAATAATTGTTTATTTAATTCATAATAACCATCAAATTTTCATCTTTCACTTCATTTATACCATCGAATCTCAAGCAGTTTCTTTTTTGACATTGGTCCAATTCCTCTAATTTTGTTTATTACTTTTAGTTGTTCTGTTTCATGTGTTTTAAGGTGAGAGTTTAATTGCCTTTAACTTTATTTTCTAATAAATTTGAAACTATACAAATTAAAGGTTTTGTAGACGTTTTTGGAATAAATCAGAGCAGTTGCTGACGCCAATATAAATAATGTAACTTTGATAATAATAAAAATAAAAGTTTAAACAATTATAAAAAAATGTAATACGATTTTTTTCAAGGGATCAAGCAAATACTCTATTAATAATCAAATACAATTACTTTGAAACCAATTCTCAAATCAATGTAATAACGGAGAAAATTGAGAAATAAAATACAAGCTGAAATTTCAAATAATATAATAATAATAATAATAATACTCTCCCTAATTCACCCCAAAAGCTGAGCTTGTCCGGGGAAAGGGACGGCTATTATTATTATTTGCCGTGGCGCTCCGGGGCGACTTAAAGATGATTGATGGTGCCATTTGACTTACAGGTGAGGAAAACCCGGAAAACCTCACCCACCATCATCGAGACGGTAATGTATGGCGAATTTTTTTAATCTGCATGTCATATCAACAGAAATTGAATTTCTATTAATACGCCACACATCAAATCCTAAACCGAACCATGCAATTTAATTAAAAATCCACATGGTCTCGTCTAGGATTCGAAACCCAGCAGTCTCAGACTCATATATATACGCGGCAAACCCTGTTTTACCAACATTTTAGCTCAGGCACTCGTCGATAGATCTAAAAACAAGCAAATTGAATCGTTCCCAACCATTTGCCAACATTTAACACATGCATTGTATTCGAAGTAAAGTGATATGTTTAAAGTGCAAACAGAAGACGAAATAACGTGGGTTTCAAATACACAGGGAATGTAATAGTAGCAACATTGACAATTTGTTATTCGGGTGACCTTTGCACGCTGTATTTGTAAATTCACGTCCACATAATTATCATTTATACGAAATCGTTAGAAAATGATTTGTGTGATAGATGGGCGATTAATTTGTCTGGCAGTTGATTGTGTTTCAGAAAGAAAAGGAAGGTTATTCTCGAAATATTTATATATTTATTTTGTTCATTATTTAGGTAATATAGATAGCTAAAATGGCTTGCGTATTAAGTATTTTTCAGATCGGTTATGAACGTTTTATAAAAGAGTAAAAGCATACTGGATGTCTCAAAAGAAACACAAAATTCATAGCACCTTCTATAATAAAGGTAGGTAAGTAAGTGTTTTGAAATGATTTCTTTTTAGATTTTCTCGTTTTATTTCACGGAGCTGTGACGTGATTTTGTTTAATTTTCTTAAAAACAGTTCGAGAAAAATTAGAATTAGGTATTATTAATTAGGTACTGGATTTTTATTTAAATTAACTAACTTTTTAAAAATTGTGAATTTATTATCGAGAAATCGCAAATAGAAATCCGAAAAGTACTTATACTTATCATTAGTAATTCTTGTGTGCAAACTTTATTAGTTAACGATGGATTTTTATTCGATCAATAAAAATTTTAAACAATTCTTGCATTTAAGCCTCTTATTAAAAACAAAAATGTAAAAAAATATTGGCTTTACTTGATGTGAGAGTCGCCTAAAAAATGTGTGCATCTTGGCCGTATGATAATTTTTATCCTAACCAGAAGTTGCAAATTTATGATTCGGCCAAAAAAGATCAACTTTACGGCCTTACTACACAAATAACTATTTTGGACGATTAAAATGAATGTATTTATTTCTGTTGCCTACCAATATTCAGTGAGGCCAAAGAGATACATTAATTTTCTGTCCCATTAATAATTAATTTTTAAAGAAAATCCTGTAACGTAAATTTTTATTTTTGAATGCGACAGTATTTCAATTCAATTAATTGTATAGGTACCTACTTCTTCAAACCCCTTGAACTGACAACTACCGCCTTTTCATTTTTAAATGAAATGAGTGATCATGTCATACCTCATTTTAAAGGGGTTAATACTCGTTCCAGTAATAGAAGTTTTTAAAATTTTGACATTTTTCTTTATGAAGAAGCATAACTGTAAATCCAGCAAATCTCCCCAAAAATAGATGAATATGTTTTACAAGAATCTCAAAAATTATTTCATTTTAATATTTTTTTTTATAATAAAATAAGCCATGTAAGATTGTTTGTTAAAAATTAGAAAAATACAAACAAAAATCCCTCATTTTATTTAAAAATTTGAATTGGTTGCTGTCACTCCAAAGCGGTTGAAGCAAGAGTACATAATTATGTTAAAATTAACCTGTTTCAGCAATTTAAAGAAGTAGTTAGCTGGAAATTTATAATTTACTTACTCTATTAAATTTACAATGTTGTTTACTGGTGGTTTTTAACAGCAACGATTTTTTCATCAATGTCGATTTTTTGGATCGACTGCCTGTTTTGGAAGAAAACCGTCTGGTTTTCTTGCCTAAAATTTCGTATACAAATCAGATACCTAGCACAAATTTTTAAAAGTAAATACTGAAGAAAATACAAGCAATAAGTAACCTTTTAAGTCATTTTTTAGAAAAAAGTGCCTATAACTTACCTGTTTTAGACATGGCTATTGTCTTTCACAAAAAATGTTCAATAATTAAAAAAATATTAAATCAATTTAAAATACACTAATACAACACACTATATTACAGCTTCAGAAACAAAGAGGAAAATAAGCTTTAGTACTTTTTGGCTTGCATAAATACCAAATGATAATACTTTTCGGCATACCGACAAAGGGCATCTCCAAAATATCCTATTAATATTATCATGTAAAACCTAATGATTGTCGTAATTAAAAAATACACCAGTCCTTTACATTGCCCTGACATATAGTGCTAAAGTTAAGCCTCAGTCCCTTTCCATTTCTAAAGTCCTTTATTTTTAAAACAAAGATGCATTTTAATAAAATATTTTTGTGCCAATACTATTTATATTTCTACGAAAAAAAAAAAGACATCGGGATTTATAATATGGATCGGCATCACTGCAATATATCCGTCGAGTGCACAAAATGCGATCACCTGCGAGTCAGTTTCGAATATAAGATATATAACGACTCCCGATCGTCGAGGAGGTCGTATTAAACTGCCATCTTAACGGCATCACTCATTTTTTGAAGATTTTCTTGAAACTTTATTAAGCGGTTTTAAATTTTTTCAAATGTTTAATCAAGATTTTCTATTTTATTCATAAATTTCTAACATACCTTCTATTGCAGTTCTGTCTAATTACTTTCCTATCTGTATACAGATATAAGGAAAGTATAGGAATCATGATTTTTTTCGACCTCGAGTTTTCGACGGATTTTCAAGTTTTTTTTGTTTTGTTGCTTTGGTTGACTCATGGTCTATGGACTATATTTTTCGGATCTAAACCAGTTTACTAATATATATTTTTTTTTTAATATAAATTTACTTTTATTTTAGAAACTGATCGTGATGCTATCGTGTCCATTACGAGTTTTTTCCTTCGAGGAGCTGGTAGTAAAACTCACTATGAGTATGAAGTTAGAATAAATACCATCGATGAAAGGTGGACTATTTTGAGGAGATATAGTCGATTTAGAGATTTACATATAGCAATGAAAGCGCGTTACAGAGACAAAGTAAGTATTAAACCCTGTATTCAGTTAATTTTTTCTGAGCTGAGATTTTTCCTTACAGGTCTCATCGATTCCTTTTCCGTCGAAAACTCTCTTTTCAAACAACGAAGCTGTAGCTCAATCGCGAAAGCGTCAGTTGGAATTATATTTACGCAGATTAATCGACATCTGCAAATGTCATCCGGCTTGTCCGTTGGCCTATGGAGGGCCCGTTACCAAAGTTGCCTTGATAAACTTTTCGCCCTTTTTCCGGAAAGGAGTTTTCGAAAATGGAAAATACGGAACATCATGATGGGAGGTTCGGTATACACCTTTGTTCTTATACCTTAAGACTAATTCGATTATTTATGTAGCGATATTTTTTATTATTAATTTTTTTCAATGGCTAGTTCCTTACTCAAGAACAAAACAAAAACATTATATTTAATTTTAACAGATATTAGCAAGAGCATAGCTCTTTTATTTTTTAGTTATTTAAAATATTGTTGTTTAGATTTTTAAATTATTTTATTTCGATTTCATTAACAATCTTAGTGCATATCACTTTGAAAGAATAAAAATAGTTAAAAAATATGTATTTATTGCACAGAATTTGAACAACTTTAAGCTGCTCACTTTAAGTGTAATAAATATAAATTTTAGTCATAGTTATATGTTGTACGAATGTATATATTTTTTTCTACGATCACATTTATCGTTAAAGAATTTTGTATCTTTCCTAGAATTAAGAGATTCGGATCTTTTTATTTGAATGTGTCAAAAAAATGTCGTTTTTCAGATAAAAACGTTCGAATACTATAAATTGACATACTTTAATTGAGCGGCCGTATGACTTTTTCAGCCTAGGCCGAAAAACTACCTTAACAACTCTGTTCACGTTTTGACGGGTCTATTTTTAGGTTAACTTTAAAAGTTTAAAAGGTAAAATCTTTTAAATACAATAACTTTCCTTTAAATTGATTTTAAAACAATATAAATTCCAATGATAAAATTTATTCTTGTTTGTTTCGGACTTTACTTAATGCAAATAGGTATTGTTTAAATGACAAACAACCAAACTTGGTAGATTTTCACAAACACTTTTATTTTAAAAAATTAAAATTTCTTCATGACAATTGTTTTGAAGTACAACTTCTTCAAATGTGACTAATTTACATTTCTGTGTCTAATATACAGTGTGCTTCTCAAAAGTCCCCTCCCCCCTCTTTTCTTTTGAACAGTGATATTTAGACTGATGAAATTTGGAGGGTGGAAATGAACTATTGTAAGCTTCTCTACTAGTGGTAACAGGTGACGTCACCAAGCAACTGAAACCAATAATATTAAAAAAAACCATCGTAAATCCAAAAAAAATAATACAACAGAATAGGTGTTCTAAATACCTTTCAAATAAGATGTCACTTGCCATAAGGTCCCATTTAATATTATTGGTTTCAGTTGCCTGGTGATGTCACCGATGCCTATTACGTCACCTGTTACCACTAGTAGACAAGCTTACAATAGTTCATTTTTACCCTCCAAATTTAATCAGTCTAAGTATCACCGTTCAAAAGAAAAGAGGGGGAGAGGGGACTTTTGAGAAGCACTGTATATACAAAGTGAGCTAACTAGTTACAGGGCCGTAGCCAGAACCAAGTTTTAAGTAGGGCATCCGAAATTTAAAATAGGGCACACCTATGTGGGTGAGTCGAGGGTGTAGGGTAGTAAGAGACGTATTTTCAAAATAAGCTTGTATGTCGTGTTATAAATTTTTTAACTAAATGCTTTCAAATACATTTCTCTGCTTCTTAAGGATTGTGACATATTTTCAAAAATGCAAATTTGTACATTATTACATAAGGTCCCATCATTATTACAAAAACCTGCCGATAGATGGCGCTGTCACTATTCTGAATAACCTTTTTTAGCGTATTTTTATCGAGAACAACGATTCCTTTTCAGTAGTATGCCGTCACCTGCTAAGCTAGTAATAGTTTTTTTTTTGTAGAAAATAAGGGTCAATGTTTCGCATAATGTAAGTGATAGGTAGGTACTATAAATTTGAATTAAGTAAAATATATTTGAATACAGATTTATATTTGGAAAAGGAAGTACATTCCTGTTTTTTTAAATAAACACTTGCGTTGAAACTGTGTAGGTACATAATATCAAAAATATAATAAACGTTTTCCAAAAATATTTGTAAGGACGCCACTGGAAGGGAATTAAACCTTTCCATTCCCCACTCGACCATTCACTGTTGGGTTCTAATTAACAGTGCTGTTCCTAAAGTGGCGCTGGGAAACAGTAACAAAGCCTACACAGAACACACATGATTGAGAATTTAAACACAAATTTGAGACTGGCATATTAGGTATATACACCTAGGCCATAAATCGAAAAAAAAAAAAAAAAACTGGTTTTATATACAGTGTGTCTACTTAAGTTGGAACCATATGGAAAACATTTTTATTGATTTTAGGAAAAAAAGTTATTCTTGATAAAAAGTCCTGCATGACCCAAAACTTAAAATACAGTCATCAGATATCAAATTTTTCAAGCCGTATACGAGGTTTGTCAAAAAATATGAATTTTGCTCAAGAGTAAAGTACGTTTATTTTTTTACAAAATCGAAAATTTTCATTAAGAAATTTGCTAAATTCTTCACAAACATCAACAAAAGGAAAGCTTATCATGTTTATAGTAGCTAACGTAATTTATAACGTTTTCAGATATTTACAATCAATGTGTAGAGTGTAGAGTTTATAAAAAATAAGAAAATCTGTTTTTTCAGATAGATCGGTGTAATTGCATATTTGAATGTAATATTCAATTCTAATCAACTTTTCTTAATGAAAATTTTCGATTTTGTCAAAAATAAACATACTTTACTCTTGAGCAAAATTCATATTTTTTGACAAACCTCGTATACGGCTTGAAAAATTTGATATGTGATGACTGTATTTTAGGTTTTGGGTCATGCAGGACTTTTTATCAAGAATAACTTTTTTTCCTAAAATCAATAATAAAAATGTTTTCCATATGGTTCCAACTTAAGTAGACACACTGTATAATGGAATATTTCTCGATGAGTGCAGATCCATTATTTCGGGTGAGGAGTCACAACACAAAGACAAATAAAATGGGACGGCACTGTCTGTATTTACATGTCTTTATTAATTATAACAAATAGTTTATACCTCCAAAACGCCCACAAATACATTTTATATCACTAAAACCATCGAGTCACGATACAATTATTGCTTTTGCACTCGTAAACACGATTGATTATTAAAAGTAAAGCCAATATTCAAAGCGCGTGGGTTAGCATGTTTTCAGATGCTATCAAAAAAAAAGGAATTGCCGACATCCCTGACACAAGAAATCTCTCCAGATGGTACTGAAGGTGCACAATTTCCAATAAATGGTTGTGACAAATTAACCGTTTTGATATTTTAAAATCGATAACTTGACCACATGCACCTGCTTCTTTGGTGGGTAGATATCACAATGAGAACTGTTTTCAAAATAAAAACACAAGTGGGAAATAAATGGGAAAATGAATTATTTTACTCTATTCAGGGAATCTGAACAGTGTCATATTTTCCTAACTGGAAAACACAATTTTTTATAGCAATTTCATAAATTTTAATTATTTCTAACTGTACTTATTTCAAGAATTTTCAAAATATTTGGTATATTCATTGTGCCGCAAAAGTTTAAATCACTATCCTGAAAAATCGGTTTTTCAGGAATCTGTCACTGTTCTTGAGAAGTAACGAAATTCGATAAAACTGAAAGAAAAAACAAAACATGATAAAAATATTTAGTATAGTAAAAACCTTTAATTTGCCATTTTCGTACTATTGAATCTATATCTACTTTCTCTTTGTAGAGACCACTCAGCCTCAACCAGCAGGTTTTGACAAGTTGAAAGACAAGGTCTATATGCCCCTGGAGGAAGCACATACAGATCTATTTTCTTTCAAATTCAATAAACACAAGTCCTATGACATTCTCTCATGAGCCATTGGCATTCTTTGGGGCTTGTTTATCAGAGTTAACGTCAAAAAGGTAGATTCGCAAAAAGCAGTGCTGCAGCCGAATGTTGTCACTGATGCAAAGAGATTATACGTATCTGTGAGGACTTTTTCCTTTTTTGTCTGTATTTTCCAATTTGAGTTATATCATCAGCAATTCCAACACTTGTCGAAGGTCTCCCAAATAAGTGTGTTGAGGAATGAGTTTGTTCTTGTTTAACTTCATTATTGAGACGCGGATTTTTTCATACTATCTTAATTTACGTAGTAGTTGTCAGTTACAAACTTCCTAATAGGAAATAAAAGATTACAAAGTCAGAAAAGACACGATAGCGCGCGCAGGACATGTATCTAAATATGGATTATGGCAATTGGTGATGAGGGACGCAAGTACAAGAGAGCAATAATGGGATATAACCAGTTTAAACGGGGAAAATTACGAGTCTTGCCGCGTATTACGTGTTACCATGAACAATGATGACTTTGAGACGTGAGTTGTGATGTGCAATACCGACTGGTTACTTCTAAGGTAGGGCATTGGTGTTTTAAGGTAGGGCATTGCCCTTATGTGTCCCTCTATAGCTACGGCCCCGACTAGTTAACGTACTTAAGCTTAAGATAATAGTAATCAAATTTTAATAAGGTATCATTACCGGGATTATCTCAAGTATTGGACACTTCAGATTTTTTGTTTTTAAACATTCAAATTTCATGTCCATGAACCATTTTGAATGATTTGTTGGAATAGAAATATCGAAATATCTATATTAGGTTATTCAGAGAGCAGTAAACAATATAAATTTTTACAGGAAATATTTACTGTGGGATATTCAACAAATAATAATCACTAAATTCCCAACAATTATTTATTATAATGACAACTAACTCGATTTAAAGTACAAACGAAACTGAAGTGGGAAAGCAAGCATTTAAAAACATTAAAATGTGTTTCCCGAAAAAACAATACAAAAAAGGGTTCTAAGAACACCTCGATACACTTCACTAACACAGTGGCGTAGCGATAATTTATTCCAATATATCACAATTTTCCCCACCAAATAAGAGATAATGAAAACTTCCAAATTGGCAAACTAATAAAAATTAAATACTATTGGCAAACTAATAAAAATTAAATAATTTGTTTTAATTATGCTCTTAAGTATACATTAATCTATCTGGTTGTTTTCGGACTCTCTTATTTTCAACAACTTGTGATTCATTTTCGACAACTAGGGGATTACAAATGTTACCCTCTGGCAAATCCAAATTATTGCTATTACCAGCAGTAGTAGATTCACTAATCTTGGCAGAGACAATGTCATTTAAACCACTTTGAATTTTAGTTCTATTCATTTGGTTTGCGTGTCGTTTCCAGGTAACATTCAACTCAGGAATATCAACAATGTAAGTGCATCTACCTATAATCTTTTTAATATTACCCAAAATCCAAGTAAATTTATTTGGTATACGGTAATCTTTTACTAAAACTCTATCACCAATATCAAACATCCTATGTTTCTTCCCTCCAAAATTTTTAATTTGATTTTCTTGTTTTTTTAACACTCTTTCTTCGATTAAATCTTTAATTTTAGGGGTTACAGCACAAAATCTGGTTCGTAAGTCTCTACCAAACATTAACATAGCTGGGGACGCTCCTGTAGTATTATGCGGGGTATTTCGATAATCAAATAAAAAATGACTTAGGGCTAAACTAATGTCAAGAACTTTGTTTTTGCCTAAGTAGTTTTTCAAAGCATTTTTAATATTTTCCGCTGCACCGTTTGATTGTGGAAAGTATGGCGCTGAGGTGACGTGAACAATATTATATTTTTCTAAAAATTGTTGAAATTCTCTACTAGTAAAATTTTTGGCATTATCAGATACCAGTGTTTCTGGCAATCCAAATCTTGCAAAGGTTGCATGTAAAGCAGACAAGGTAAAATGTGAAGTAATATTGGAAGTAGGGAAAACTTCAATCCATTTAGAATGAGCGTCCAAAATTACCAAAAAATATTTATTTAAAAATGGTCCCATGTAATCAATATGAATACGAGAAAATACTTTATCTGGCCATTTCCAAGGGTTTAAATTTGATTTTGGAGGACTAGTTTTATTCACGGAGCAATTTTCACATTGTGCTGCTAAATCCTCAATGTCTTTATTTATGCCCGGCCAAAAAAAATATGATCTCGCAATCGTTTTTATTTTTACTACTCCTAGATGAGTCATGTGTAATTGACATAATAAACGACCTTTTAATGTTTCAGGAATTACGATTCTATTATTCCAAAGCAAAACATCATTTTCAATAGTAAGCTCATTTCTTATTTTGAAGAATTGTTTAAATCTTGGGTCATTTTTCGCATAGTTTGGCCAATCACTTTTAACAAAGTCGATAATTCTTTGCAAAATCTCATCTTCAAGAGTAACTTTTTTAATTAACTCAAAATTTGTTGAAATTATTTCACTATCAGAAAAATAATTTAAATAGTTAATATCAACAGATTCCCATATTTCAGTTTCATCGCTAGAAACTGGCAATCGCGACAAAAAATCAGCATTATTATTTTCTGATTTAACATATTCGACTTTATATGAATAGTTAGAAAGAATAACTGCCCAGCGGCGTAGACGATTTGCGGAATATTGAGGTATTCCTTTTTTCGGATTAAAAATCGCTAATAACGGTTTGTTATCGCTTACCAAAGTAAATTCACGACCATACAAGTACTGAT